TGTTTCTTATTAATTTAATTATAAATATTATTCTTTTTGCCGGTTGTTGTTTTTTGGTGGCAATTGCCGCAGTACCAGGAAATGGAAAAACTCAAGTGCTCGCATTTGCAGTGTGATTTTAAAGTTTTTTGTTGGGCAGAGAAATCTAATTTCAGTCAATTGCGCTGTGCACTGAAAACAAAAGCGACAAAAAAAAACTAAACGTTTTGAAACAAAATATTTCAAAAGAAAACGCAATATGAGCGTACGATTTGTTTTAAAATGTGAATTATGCCAATGCCAATTTAATTATGAAATAAGATTTTAAATAAATACCACTTAAAAACTTATCTTGCAATATAAAACTCTCTATTTTGTTTGGTTACTATAAATTTTCCGATACTTAAAGTATTGAAAAAAAAGAACAGGCTCCCTAATGTTTTTCTGTGCTCTTTTATCTCATGGACCAGATGAGTTTATTTACTGTTGTAAAACTAAAGGACATTGTTGTCATTGGCTTTGCCCATTTTCCCTCACGTTGTCCTTGCAGAAAAAGTGAAACTCTGTCATTTGGTGAAAGAGACTTAGCTGGAAAGCCTTTCATAAGCATCGCATAAATTCTTTGTCAATTGTGGCAAATTTTTAGCCACACAGTTGGCCAGTGGTCCTGTTCCCTGTATCTTGTGCACTTTGCAGTTTTCTCTCTTTCTCTTTCCTTTCTCCTCTATCCGTTCCTTTCTAATTGTGCCATGTGTTTGCTAGTGAAGTCTTCAAATTGTAACTGGAATTTGATTGTGCCGAGGCATGTGAGTGCATTGATTGGATTAGCTTCTGAAAGCGACTGCATGTGGCCATAAATGGAATGAAGGGCCTGTAAGCCCATACGATCTGTAGATGAAGCTAGACAAAACGCATTGGGGTAATTGAGGTTTAGAAAAAATCGAGAAAACGTTAGTTTCCAAGGACAAAAAGGTTAAGAATGTGTTGTATTGTTGTTTTTTGTTGTTAAGAAATGTGTTGTATCGCAGGTCATTTAAATATCAATAAAACTATAAAAAGTCTACAAGTTATCCAACACTTATGATTTTTATAAACAATATTTTTAAACTCTGCATTTGCTTTTGTTTTTGCCTATGACTTTCCCTTTGGCTTTGAGGTCCGATCTTGGTTCCCCAGCTAAGTTAAACAAATCAAAATTAAAGTAAACATGAGCTTCCGTTCGAGGCCCAATCGATTGCGCCTTTTGCGTTTCAAGCTCCCACCAAAATGCATGGCTCAGCAAAATTGAATTTCACAATGAGATTCGACAGTTTCATCTTAAGCTTTTGTTCAGCATTTATTCTAAGCAAAAATTGAAGTCCTAAAAAATCAAAACGAAAAGCTCCTGGCCGGGCTTCATTGGACCAGATTGAAAGAGAAAGAAAAAGTCAATCCTATTTTGATTGACACTGTGATCGGTCTACAGAAAAATGATCAGTAAAGTGTCTTGCAAAAAAACTAAGTTGAATGAATAAAGGCTTAACACCAAAAAATATAATAAAAAGTTATGTTTTTTAATTCATCAATTAATCATAAATTAATTCCATTATATAGTGTTGCTTTTATTTAACTTGTAATATTTTTTTTGTTTATTACTCATTTAAGTAGTGTCCTAGAAGTATCCCATCCAGTGTTTCTCCTCCAAAGCCCTTTTTGCTGTTGCTGGCCCGTCTTTCTTCCGCTCTGTGTTTCCTTTTTCTGGCTTGTTTGCAGGCATGTGGCTTAGGAATGGCTTACAAGCTGCTTCCTTGTTTTTTCCTGGCTCTTCTTTCGACCCCGGGGATGGTGGGTGCAGCAACCGATTATCTGCCGACTTTCCTTCCTCATCTCTGGTTATTATCCTTCCAGCTCTGCAGCAGCCTTATTCATGGTTGTAACTGCATTCTCAAGCTCAATCAAACGGGAAGTTGGCTGAATATGCATTGAATTAAGTGATATTTGTGTTGCTTTGGATCCTGGCCGAAAAACTTGCAAGGCTTGATAATTAAAATTCCGTGAGCCTGGAATCCGTTTTGCACATAGGTGCATTTTCCCTACAGAATTTAAATGTCCTTTTCACCGGAATGGTTGTGTGTGTGTGTTAGTGTATATGTGTGTGTGCGCTCGACGTTCAAGTGAAACTTTAGACATAAAAGCCAGACCCCTTGATATCCTTTTTTTCTGTGTCCACCCTTTCGGGCTTTATTGTTGTGCTGGCTAAGACCGTGCAGACATTTGGACCTAACTACTTGGAGTTTTATGCCCCGTTTCTTTGCTTCTTCTTCCTTTTTTTTGCTGCCACATGGGAGGACTTTATGGCGCATACGTGTGGGTTCCTCCGGGCCCATATTGAAAACTCAGCATTGTTATGACTTTGAAACAAACTGAGGGCAAAAGCATCCTTTCTCCTTGGCCCTCAACCTAATGGCAGGTGCAAGAAAAAATGTGATGGAAAAAGGCGAGCGAAAATAAAACTGTTATCGGTCTGCGTGCTCAAAAGCGCACTTGATTGCTCAAATCCTTTGTGTATCCCCTTTTAAGCCTTTTGTTTTCCATTATGCGCCGGAAGTGTTGTAAACACTTCAGCACAGGACAGCAGCCAAGCCGCAGCAACAATAACAGCAGCCCCAGAAGAACTAAAAGGGCAAGGAAAGTCCAAGTCCAAGGAAGCGTCTCAAGCGGCACTCCTTCTACACAAAAAAATTCAAGTGAAATTTAAAACACTTTTCAAGACAAGAAGTAAAGTGGGAAAACTTTTCATGACAGTAATAATTGCTTAGTTCATTATGCTTTCTGAAGTTGAACAAGAAAGGAAGCTAGCTTCGGCAAGCCGAAGCTTATATACCCTTGCAGTCATCAAATATGTCGAACAAAACGCATAAAGGCTAGACAACATCGAAGCTAAGACGATTTTTCTATTCATTTCCCATTTTTTTGACTATAGAGATATGGGAGCTATACGATATAGTTGTCCGATTTCGATCAAATTTAACTCGTAATTCAAGAGTCGTAAGAACACTCTATATTCCAAAAATCATACTTTTCTGATGAAAAACAACGATGTTATCAATTTATTTCCATTATTTCTATATATAATTTTCGATCTCTCCTATGGCAGCTATATGATAGAGTTATCCGATTTTGATCAAATTTAATCCGAAATTCAATAACAGTTAGAAAACGCCATCTTGAAGAATTCAAGTCGATCTGATGAAAAACAACAGAGTGAGAATTTTTTATTTCATTCTCTTGTATTGGAGCTATCCGATATAGTCGGCCGATCCGGCTCGTTCCGACTTATATACTGCGTGCAACAGCTACACAACTTTTGGGAAAGTTTCAGCTCGATAGCTTTAAAACTGAGAGACTAGTTTGCGCGGAAACGGACAGACGGACAGACGGACAGACGGACAGACGGACAGACGTACATACATATTTCGATTCTGCTCGTGATGCTGATCAAGAATATATATACTTTATGGGGTCTGAGGTGTCTCCTTCACTGCGTTGCAAACTTCTGACTGAAATTATAATACCCTTTTGCTCTGCAAGGGTATAAAAATAAACCTCGATGGCCCCAATAAAATCATTATATTTCTTTACTTATTCCCTTCTTTGCATTAATACCGCCATATGTACTATTTTTAATTTATCTTCAATCTGCGGAAGAGTGTGTTCTATCAAAAGTATTTTTCTTGCGCTTGCATATAGATTTGAAGGCCTTTTTTAATACGAATGATGCAGGAAGACAGCCACGGAAATAAAGCATAATAATGTGGCACGACAATCGGGGGAAAGAAAAGTGAAAATGGGGCAGGGAAATGCGACTCGTGCCAAACGGGAAAACACTCATAACGCTTTTCGCTCCCCGTTTCGCCGCTCCTTTTCTTCTGAGTCGGACCCTCGTGGCTTTCTCCTGTCAATATGTTTCCCGCCCGACTTGTGCCATAATTGTGTCTTCCCTCTCCGGACACACAAGTGTGTGTTGCGAGAGTGTGTGCTTGGCGGGGTTAAGGAATGGAGATAATGCCAACCGGGACACTTTCAGTTACTTAGCCCAAGGAACCGGGGAGCGTCTGCTGCTCGGGGACTGAAGGACCAAAGGACTCAACCTGAAGCCGAGCGTTTCTTCCCTTCTTTGTGTCTGTTGTTTTAGGAACTTACAAGTGGCCAACGAAAAATATCCCAACTGAAGCTAAAATAATTAGCTGGGGGCTGGGAAGAAATTGCAGAAAAATGAGAAGGCCACAAGGGGCAGCTCAAAGAGATAAAAGGAGAAAGTGGGTTGCATGTTGAAAGGAAAAGGCAAAGAACTTCAAGAAACCTGGTGAGGGAATGCTTTTAAATGTTTCAATATGCCAGAAAGAATTTGAAACTGAACGCTGCATTCCTGCATACATTTATTCCAGATGGAGTTTTGTGAGTCTTAAAGTTGTTGGGTTTTATAAGCAGGAAAGTCCTGCCCTACAGTTCAAGTTTGCAACTCATTTCCATGTCTTTAATACTGATATTGGTAAAAATGACGTGAAATACTAAGTATAGTATGTTGTATAAATATTTTCAGAAGGATAAAGGTTGAAAATTACAATCTAAAGATTTCTTAGAATTAAATATTATATATATTGAAAATCTTAGTGTTTTTATGTACCCTTAGAAAGTTGTCTTTTTTGCTAGTTACAATATTGAACTCGAACTACTGTTTTCCCATCATTTGTTAACCCTATAATGCCAAATTACTAAACTTCAAAACATAAGGTTTAAAGCCCCTCACCTCCATTTCTGTGATGCGTTTGCTTTCCAATCTGCAACGGCGGCTGAGGGGAAAAACCTGCCACTGTCCGCTCCAATTTGCACCTCTCATCTGGGTCAGCTGGCGGCCGTTTCCTGCGACTCACCGCTGTCTCATTTTCCGGGTGACAGGAGCCCTCCGATTCCAGGCATCACCTGACAATTTGTTGACTCAACTAATCTCCCTCCGCCGCCTCTCCCCTCTTCCCTTTCAGATGCCCAGGATGGGGAGACGCCACAAGCACTGCCGCCATCGGCTGTGCGGTTCGTCTTCGTCTCCGCTGCAGCGACTGGTGGAGCTGCAGCTTCTGCTGCCGGCGGTCCTGGTCGTCCTGCTGGCCACCACCCTGGGCCTCGCCTGCCGCGTCTCCGAGTTCTCCTGCAAGGGCAGCGGGAGCAGCGGCACCATCTGCGTGCCCCTGGACAAATACTGCGACGGACGGAGCGACTGCGCCGACGGCAGCGATGAGCCCAAACATTGCTCCGGTGAGTGAATGCCGCCAGATGTCGTCCCCCTCACGAAGGAGGGGTTGGCAAACAGTACAGTAAGCCATCGAGAGAGCGAACCAGTGCTGGGATTATCACATTGGAAGAAATTTGTACTTCTTTGAGCCACTATTTCTTTCAATTTTAATTCACTAACATATCATGTTGTAAAGCAATCTTTGTTTTGCTCGAGGTCGCTCCTTCGATTGCTTACTGTAGTTTACACAAGTTAACCCCCAACTCACACTCTCTACTCCTTTTGTCCCCCTGACAGTCTGCAATCGTACGTATTATGGCGATATCGGACGCACCTATGCCATAAAAGTGCCAACGCCACAGTGGAATAAATTGCCTTTCCTCTGTCACTTGACATTCACAGCATCCGGTCATGATCAAGGCGACATTGTTCAGGTGAGTGCCGGTGAAGGTTCCTGTGGGTGTTTGCCAGTGGTGGGACAAGCCACGTACCTGTACCTTACTATAATCCAGCCTATTTTCAATATGTTGAATAAAATAGATAATTTAATTTCAGGGAAATTATTTTGTTTCTAAATGAAATGAATTACTTTTTAGTCAGTTTCTTCCACCTTACTCTTAATATCTGATATTAATATAAATTTTAATTAGGCATAATCACTTTTACACAAAGCCGTAATAAATTTTATAAAGGATGTTTATATTAATAACAGGTTAATATGAATAATTCACATCGTATCGTATCTATATTGTATAATAAACACTTGGGATAATAATGAGAGCCAGTATTCCAAACAAGGTAAAAGTAAGTGGCATCTTTCCCAACACTGGTGTTGAATGGGTGCACTGTTTGTCCGGTTCGTGTTGCCGTCCGTTGTCCGTTGTCCGTTTTCCGTTTGTTGGCTTTAGTGCGCCGTAGGCCAAAGATTAGCTGTACGTCAACGAAATAAAAGTGCAATGCACACACACGTGCACTCGAGGGCAGATGGACGGTGGGAGGTCCTGCAGGAGGAGTGCTCTCCAACGGGAACAGACGCACCCACACAAACACAAACACTGCCAAGAGACAGCGACACGCACAAATGCACCGCCGTGAAATACCCGAGACCCATTCCCCGTTCCCAACAATAGAAACCAGATTCGTACACACCAGTTGAGAAGCTGTCTGAACCTGCCGTCCGGATTAAAGGTATATGGGTTCTGTCTGGCTAAGCACCGATTTAACTAGGCCTACGTATATAAAATAACAAAAACGCAAACGCTACCTTCGTGGTCATCGCACTGGCTTAGAAAACATTTTGTTATGAAGGAAGCCGGTATATCAATTTGACATCACTTATTTATATAATAATAATAATCGAAGAAACGCCATTTTAATCACAAAAATTCCGTTTACGTTTTATATTCAATTAGATTCCACATATCAATCTGAACATAAAAGAAAGAAATTATAAGCATCAAATGGATAGATTTCCTTTTTTTTTGTTTTACTGTATTCACCTAAAATTTTATAAGTTGAAAAACCATAAGATATATAACTGTAAATTACAATAATATGAATAACAAATATGTATAACATACTTGTTTATCAGTATTGAACTTAAATATCTGAGATCCATCTGGAAATCGAAGTAAACTAATAGTCTCTTAATAGTTACGTATGGAAATCATTCCTTCAGTATATCTTCAAAAGTTTACAGGGTATTTCAAAAAGTGTGTTTTCCTATTCTCGAATTCGGCAGATTCCGTTCGAGCTTGTTAGGTAGAATGTCTCCATTTCTCGCCTTGGCGGCGTATCTCGTGACATTTTTGGAGCTCTGGCATTTGGTGCGTGCTTAATTAGGACTCCCAGCGATTCCAGTTGAATCCTATTCGGCGTGTCCGCGCTCTAAATAGAACGCAGCTCTTTAAAACGCTTCTGGCACACAAAAAGATTGATAAATAGACTCAGAGGCAGACTAAGAAATAAGCAAACAAATCGAGCCCCACCGAGAGTCGAGAACCACCCACGTTGACAATGAAATTAGACACGCTTCAAAACATTTTTGGCGAGCTGTCAGAGAAACGTCAATTTCAATTTGAAAAATAATTGATTTCCCCTGCAATTTGCGTAAACATCGCAATGAGCAGTTGAGTCCCAGGAAACGGTAGTCAGCAAATCTGTTCCCCCACTCCGAATCCACCCCATTTGCTCCTTAAATTTCCCCAATCCGCTTGGGAGTCTCGCACATATAGATATTCGAATAAGAGTGAGGAATGATATATGCAAAATGTTCCTTCGTGGGCTTTGCACCTTGCACAAATCTGTCATGCATAAGTTATAACTTTTTATTTTGTGTTTCAGAATTTGTAGACTACTTTTTTCAAAGAACTTGGCTACACGTAGAAAAAAGTAATACAATTATTGATTAAAATACGTAAGGATTTTCTGAAAACCTCAACGACTAGTAGAAAACCAAGTTCCATTTTTTAATGAAGTTTAATTTTAAAACTACGTTGTATGTATATTTTATTACGATATAAACTATCCCTTAAAAAAAAAAAACACTAATTAAAAGCCCCAAAAGTTATCATGTAATTAGACAGTCGGGAATTTTGTTTTTCTTTTTGATAAAACTGAAATTATATGTTAGGGCCTTTTTTATTTTAATGAATACAATATCGAAAAAGCCATATAAAAAATTATAAACTGTTCAGTGTAGATTTTCTTCTTCAACTCTTCATCGTAGCATATAAATCATGCGGTTGGCTTTCCCGGGCTTCCCTGGTTTTCCTCGCTTCCCTTCGATTTTATATATTTTTGCTTCTCACTCGGGTGCGTCTGTGTGGGAAATTGCTTGAAATAATAATGTTAGACATTGGCGCGAACGAGGGAGTGGTTGTTGTTGCCGCTGTCTGTTTGTACATATTGATTGATGATTGTCAGCCAGAACCCCGGACCTTCGCAGAAGGGAGAAGTTTAAATTGCCTGGGACTCTGCCGTTTACCCATGGGCTAATTTTTAATGGAAATACCTTACCCCAAACTCCGCAATATGTTTGCTATAATCGAATAGCCGATAGCGCCGTTTTTTTCCGTAATTAAAGCTTGTTTTTCACGCCCTCTAATGGACGGGAAAATGTATGCAACAAATCAACCAAAAGAAAAACGTTTTTTTGCAAAAGACAGACAGAAGTGTGCATAAATCAAGGTTTTTGTTTAAATATAATTTTAGTTTACCATTAAAATTATTTTTACTCTTCTTGTTTACCCTGCATTGTAAATCATGTTTATTTGCAAATAATTTTTTCAACTAGTTTTTCAATGCGGAGTTTAGATTTCCTGAAAACATATTTGTTGTATTTTACATAACAATTAATTATATCACAATTAGAATGAATCTTATTGTGTTCTTCTATAAACTGCTCAGTTGGGCATCGCTGATGGAATTTTTTAGAATTTTAGGCATTTATGTGGTCGAGTTCATAATGAATTAATTGCGTTGAAAATTCAAAATAAAGACCTTATTTACTGGCACAAACTAGTCAAACATTGAATGAGTTGATACCACTGGTGTTTAAATTTTCTATTAAAGCCGTGATGAAAGTTTTCCCGAAAGTTGTCACGCAGAAGAACAAAAAACTTGAAAAGGAAAAATATAAAACATAAGAGAGAGCTTCTTAAAAAGCATACACTACTCATAAATTATGCTTCCTCATTTTCCCAGGAGAATTTCGGAACGAGGAGTCCACGATGAAGTCCAAAGCAAACTTGCAAATGCAAAAGTTTTTCTGAATATTTCGCACTGTCGTCCAGTCGTCGCTTCTAATGAAGCCACAAATGCCATGTACGACGGGTATGGAAATGCCTTGCTCATTTTCCCCGCTGTCACTTTTGCCTTTGTTTAATATTTCAAATTGGAACCGAAAATCTTTTCGTGCGCGTAGGTGTCGGGAAATTCAGCTAAATGAAAAGCAAGTGGCAGCCATCTGAAACCCGAGGCTGAACCCTTTTATTGGAGTTTTCTTTCCAATTTTCGACACACTCTCCGGCAGGCATTTATTTGCATATTTTATTAAGCAAAGTACATGTGCCCGCACGAGTACATAATGTACATATTGCATACAGGATTAGACACTTGGCTCTCTGCCGCACAACTTCCTCACTTTGACCTTGACTTGACTCCCCGAAGGGCCGGTGTTGGGGGTGGTGTTTTCTTTTTTATGGCCAATCAAATATGCAAACAGTGGGCGGGCACAATGAGGCGTTGTGCGGTCCCTTACATTTTTCGCAAATGGAATTTCATTTGCATAACTTTAAGCAAATATAAAATATAGTTCTAATACCCTGGAAGGCCTGGCTAAACTGGGCTCTGAAGGATTTAGAAACGGAAAAAATAATGGATAAGAAACAGTCAGCTTGGCATAAAACGAAGTTGCACAGAAAAACACACACAAACTTTGCCAAATTAAAAGTTGGCTTTGATACATCCAACTTTAAAAGTATTCTGAATATGAACATACCAGCATTATTTATGACTTGCTTATTTATTTTAAATGTTTATAAATAGTAAATGTACATACACTTATTAAAGTACAATATTTGATGGATATGTTTTAAGGATTAAATTGAAATACCATTATGTCTGTTTCAGATCATCTTTGACGGCTTCACGGTGGGACGGTTCGACGAGGGCATGGTCGATACGGATGTGGATGGATACGAAACGAACCTCAGTCCCACGGGCGAGTTGCCCGGATGTCCCGAGGGGTTCATGCAGGTGAGAGGGCCGGAATTCCATTTATTAAAATTCATGTTACGTGATAGTAAAAATAGTTTGCGGGAAATTGTGTCCGGGAGTTTGCACTCCATTTGCTTGCGTTTGGGACCATAATTTCGTGCCCAAGTGGGCGGTGCTCGATGAGGGGGTGGTGGTTGGGTGGAAAATCCGGGCGGGGACTTTGCCTTGTCATCGTTGGTGGCTTTCGTCGATGGCGATGCCGTCGTCGTCGTCGTCGTTGGCGTTGTCGTTGTCGTTCTTCGATTCAATCAATGTCCGAGTAATTCTGTAATTTTCTGTTTGGTTCTCTGTTGACAAATACCACATTAGCCCGGCAAATTGAATTGAATGGTGCGCCTGTGTGCGTGTCTCTCCCGATATCCGTGTCTGTGTGTGTGTGTGTGTCCTGCGATCCTGGAGCTGGGAGCCTGAGTGCCTTTGGTGCTGTTGGTGCTGTTGGGTCACATCCATTTGCCCTTCCTGCACCGAAAAGGAAAACTATTTAACATGGAAGCTGGCTATGTGTGCGTGGTGTATATTTTTATCGCAAGTTTTGCGGACACATTCGGCAGAGGACTGATGGCACTGTCGTCGCCCTTGTAATGCCAAAACCCAAATCCTGGCCAAATAAAATGTACCAAAAAGCTCACTAAATCCCTGTAATTGACTTGTGCAATATGTTTGAATGCTCCCCTCCGCTTCGCAAATGTGTTCGCTTTGGCTCAGTTTTTGTTTCAGCTTGCGTATCTGCAACTGTATCTCTATCTCGGTTTCGGGTTGACTGGCCCTGCTTAAATCGCCTTTGATAAAGTCGAGACTTCCAGACTGACTGCTCGCTTTTCATCCACTCCTCGGGCGGATACCTTAAGCTGTTTTAATTTGGGGATTAAATAAAATATTCGCACAGAGGTGCTGAAATGCAAATGAAGAGGGAGGTGTGTTAGGTCACCTAATCTCCTGCTCTAAATATATTCTGGAAAATGAAGTCGGTCCACACACGTGTGACTTGTCGAAATGGACATTCATGGTGTTTTCAAGGAACATGAGAAATATTTTTATGAATTCTCATTTTTTTAATATTACTCACTGTCAAGTTATGGTAAGTCCTTTTAATCTACACAATTTTCTTATTTTATTGGCTCCAAGCAACGAGTCTACTTGAATTCCAGTATTGTGTCGGTCTCTGTCTCACTAATATATCCATGACGAAACTGTTGAAATAAATAATTTAATTTGTATTAAATGAAAACAAACTCGAACAGAATAGTTATTGTAACTATTTTATTGAGCTGGATCTTTAGCTTCGTTCTACAATACAAAAATAGAAATGTAAGTTCATTTTAATTAAATAAATTTTTTTATCAGATTAAATATTGCATTATATCTTTAAAAAATCGACAAAGCAGTAGTGAGTCTATATAGATTGTGTAGTAGTCTCCCACAAAATCTCTCTTTCTCCTCCATGGGCCTACAGATTTTCGTACTCTCTGCTAACGAGGAAGGCCCTTCCGCCCACTGTCTCTCTGGTTGGAAAACCATAAACCTCTATTAGTTTAGCTCCGTAGGCCCAGCAAGGCCCCCTCTCCGCCGGCGCCCTGTATCTCCCGTCTCTGTCTCTTTGTGCAACAATAAATTTTAACAAGCGTGGGGCGTGCGCTGACATTCTGCGGTGTTCGTCCCCGAAAAACTGAAAACGGAGCCGGACTGCGGCACATGGAATAGCCATCCAGTGCAGTCCATGCACTTCTGGGCTGTCCTGTTGAGGTTTCATTTGGCGCTTGACATGTGTACGGAGCTGAGGGATTTCCGCACAGGACGAAGGCCGGGGTGAGCTAACAGACATGCCTCTAGTTATCCTGCCGCAGCGTTTTCCGGCAGCAGCTGTGATACGCTGAAATTTTGTTAGTGCACTTAGACTGCATGAGGGCTTAAATAAGATATAACAAATATTTGTGTTTGAGGGAAAAAGAAAACATCTAACTACTTACTACTAACAAACTACCTAACTAACTTAAAATACGATCATGAAAATCATCATCATAATCCTTAAAAACAGGAAAGCAAATTGCAGTTGAAAACAAAGAAAAAGGATTGGCAACAAACCCATAATGTCGACATTAACTATTTATCACTCATAGACTATTCCAAGCTCCAGCTTTATTTTTGCCGTGTATTTTATTTTTTGAATGTTTCGCCTTGCTCTTCGGTTTTAAAATGCAGTTAAACATTTTCAATTTTTTGTCGCCGCTCTTGCATTGTTCATTGTTGTCGTTGCAGTTCTATATAGACTCGTAACTAACCGCAGGTTTGTGTTGTGTTTTTGCCCCCTCAAAGCCTCCGTTTCCATCGAAGCGGCTTTTTTTTACAGAAAAGGCAATTTTAACTGCTGACGCGGTTTGTAAAGCCCCTCCTGGCCCACCGATCTGTATAAATAATGCGTGTCATGGCCTGGCCACATAAATTCTTGACCGAAACGGAAAATTTATATCCGCTGCCTTTCCCACACACGAGTATACGAATATACGGTTATATATGATTTACCCAGGTTCAGGCCCAGCACCCCGTGTCGAGTCTGAAGTTTCGGTTTAATCATTTATTCAATTTAGTTGGACATTCTGTCTCATGCATTTTATAACAGGCCAAGAAGGGAGCGTAACTGGGCTGTCCTTATCTTGACCTTCTCGGAATTATTTTTAATAATTCAGCAAACAATCCTTGGCCACCAGTGGAAGGGGAGAGCGATAACTTTAAAGACAAGTAGTGTTTAAAATTCTTAACCCGAATTTGCATGCGTCAAATTCCTGCAACCAGCAAAAACTAAATTATTTCCAAACATAAAACAAAAGACCAGTTGTTTGAGATAACTTTGAGTAAAGAAATACAAAATCTTTCAGCTAAAAGGGTATTTCATAGTCTTTACCAAGCAGCACTCCCGCACTTAAATTTCTCTCCGTTTAAAACTCCTGCTGAACCTTTTGTATATTGGCTAATATTGCTAATCATAAATAATAAAGTTTATGCATAAACGTATTAGCCTAAATCAACAGAAACAACAAAGCTTCAGTTAGGCGGAGGAGGGGGCTGTTATCCTTGAGTGTCCTTGCGAGAGCAGCTTGAGCAAATGACTCAATATTTGACAATCATAACATCCCCAGCCGTTGTCCTTTTCCTGACCCTCCGTTTCCGTCCTTCGTCCTTCGCAGAGAAGGACATCGAAGGGAGGAGAGCGGACAGCTTGGTCCTTCCTCAGTTCGCCAATAGTTTTTATTAGTCTGAATGAGTATGTATATAGATAATGCTTATAGATTGTTTAACAACTTCCCTCGGATCAGCTCATAACTGACCGTCGACCGCACGGAAGTTAGGGGAGGTTTACGAGTTTGGCTGGAAAGTCTCACAAGTTTACAATATTTTTAGTTGGTTATTTATTGGCTTGTTCCGCCCGTATTTGTGTTGCAAATTAAAAGCCTCACGGTTAAATAATTTATTTGCAACTTTCCAAATGCCTTAAAATTCAATAAATCATCAAGGAGACAGTCAGTCGGAGCTGGCATTATGCGCTTAAATTGTTTCACAATTAAGTTGAAAAACACACTGCAACAAAAGAAGGAATCGGGGAGGATAAGCCTGCGGAGGAGAACTGAAGTGGCAGCTTTTGTTTGTTGCTGGCAGATTATGAAGCGAGAAGGATTCTGCGGATGCCAGTACATCAACAATGCTGATAAAACTTTTATCTCACTCAGTGTGTAAAACATGTGTGTGCGACCAAGCGAAGTCCGCGAACAATGTATTTCAGATACTTGTGGGCGGACCGCATTGCATTCGAAATTACTATTAATGGTAAAATGGTTTGATGAAAACTACTTTCACTTCAATATCTTTTTACTCCTGAATATTTAATCTTTACAAGGCCTGCATTTTTCTCTGTTTTTATTTAAAGACTACATTCGTTTGATCCATTTCAAGAGTATACACTTAAAACGCTAGTTATCAACTTCCAATTATCCAAACTTGTTCACTCTGCCAAAATGCGAGTATTCTAACTGGCATGTGAGCAAATGTTTTGCCAAAAAGTCGGTTCAGTATTGGCCTTGGCCTAATCAAAGAGAGTTCCCTTAAAACTTAACCCAGAGGCAACGGCAGCCAAAAAAAAAAAAAATGGAATGCTACAATAATAATTCAATCAATTTAAAACCAACACAAAACCCAGCAGAAAAAGCAGGAGCAGATAGGCCAAAGACGGAAAGTGGGGCAAGGGGCAGGGGGAAAAGGACACACAAGGACCAAGGCCCAATAATTCGTTATGAAGTCGATGCTAATAACGCTTCAATGCACACAATGGACATGATGACGATGATGAAGAGGAACGACCAGAAGGGGAAGGCGGCGGGTGGAGCTAAAGAGGGGAAAAAGACAGTGCACTCAGAAAAAAACTTTGAAACGGGAAAGGGTCAGTGATTATAAGCGACGAAATAGGCGGAAACATATAGAAAATTATTCAAGTTATTTACTACTGTAAATTAAACTAAATGAAACTTTATTGTAGAAACCATTTACATTTTTATTATGGTTTATAGGGATATTTAAGGATGGTAAAGAAACAAAGTGATGGTTAAAAAACTTATTAAGTATTTTAGGGCTTCCACAAATTGAAATCCCCTTTCTTAAGGTTTAAATCCTTTTTCTGAGTGTGCGAAGAAAAACCTATGAGCAGGACCCGTCCAGAGCCAGCAATGAATTTACACAAAATCGAAATCAGAAAATTACCATTATGCCGGGCAGTCAAGCCTGCCTGTGGAGGCCGCTCCTGCCATCCTGCTATCCTGTGCCCAATGCCAATCCACTACTCATCCTGCCGACGAGCCGGAGGAGGATGGCCAATGGACTTGGCCCGGTCATTCAGTATGACAGCAGCAGTGGACCGACGGGTCCCAGTGCAACTGCAACTCTAACCAGTTACAAATATTGGCCAGAGCTCGATTGGCGACTTTGCAATTACAGCAAAAATTGTTGTTTGAGTTTGAGGCAGCCGCAGGACATGTCCGGGGCAGAAAGGACACAGAGGAGCACAGGCTGGCTTCGTCGGTCGTCGGTTCAGTTCAAATAACCCATTAACTAAAAACTTAATCAATTGGAACCCCAGTGTAAATGAGCTGCCGTGGCCATTGCCGTTTGCCAATCCCCACATTTATCGACTGCTGGCCACTGACCCAGGCCGCAGGCAGAAAAAAGATACTGAAAGGCGGACCGGCAGTGGAACCCATCCTGCTGGTATTAGCAATATTAATGCTGCCTATGCGAGCAGGCTCAATAAATGTCAGTTGTCCTGGGGCGAAGCCAGGCGTTTGCGCTCGAATGGGGAAAAGATTTGTGTGATTTTGCGGCGTATGCTGAGCATTCATAGTTCAGGAATCGGTCTAGACACACAAATGAATTTTTAAATAGTGAAACCAGAACGAGAACTGGTGCTGGTCAAGTTGGTGTCATCAACAAACAACAATTCATTTTTAGAATTTTCAATATAGTAACAAACATATTTCCATTCGATTGTAAAACGTTTGTATTACCACATAGAGCCTTTAAAGATCGGTATAGTCAAGTTTAGTATCACTCGATGTATGAGTAATAATTATATAAATTTTAAATAAAAAAAAAAAAGGTTTGGTGATAAAAATAATATATTTTGCTATATTAATTTTATCTAGCCGTAAAAAACTTCTAACTTAGAACCCTGTAATAAAAAGGGAAATGGAAAACTACAGTTTGAAGTATATTTTGAATGGTAGTTATTATTTTAGTATCCATTTTATACGGACACTAAAACAATTATTTTTATAGCATTTCTACTATCTCAATAGAACTATAGCCAACATCAAAATATGAAAACCGTATTATTTTATAGTGTGTGTTTTCAAGATTACTTTAGTCTTTACTAATTTGCACCATTAAAAACCCAACAGAGGTTTTAGAGTGGGGATTGTAATAATTTCCGGTTCTCCGACTTAAACCCACAGTTCTTCACTGCCCATTATTCTTCTTCCCACTTAAATTTCGGCCTCGTTTTTTTCATCCGTGTTAATATTTTAACCACCATACGTTGCCTAGCTTTGGGCTTTATATTTTTTGGTCGCAATGTAAATACATTTATGGGGCAGCACTCGCAGTGGCGCTTCCACGGCGCAGAGTTGTTGCAGCTGCCGGTTGCACACCTTCGCCGGTTGCCAACGGTTTTTCACATGCATAAAACACCGCTCCAAAAGTGGGCCACAGTCCGATTTGGTACCGCTGCCAAGTGCCACGATGCGCGGCAGAAACGGGACGAAAAACAATCAAATATGGAGCGGAGGGGCGGTGGGAATATGGAAAAAATTACACTGCACAACACGCACTCATAATCCATTAGCCCCACGCCAGATGGCCCCCTGCAACGTGCGTTTATTAATTTTTCATGCGTTTTTCACTTACCCAGTGCCAATAAAATCAATAAGGGCATTCGAACTCCATAACTTAACCCAATTTTTTAATGCGCCTGCGATGTGTGTGTGCACGCGGCCTTAAATGCAGCATCGCAGCGTTTTCCCGAGCTGTGCGAAATTGCTTTTAGCCTCTCTGTTTGGCTGTCTGTGGGCGTGTCACCAGCGAAACAAACTTGATTTTTAATTAATTAAATTTTTATTTATTTACTTGGCAGCTCAGCGAATTGGGACGCCCATTCACCGGCGGCTCCTGGTGCGGCAAGGCCACCGGACCGCAATTGTACTTCAGCGAAACATCCACGGTGACAGCCTCGGTGAAGGTGAGTGCAAGTGCGAGCGAGAGGGAGCGAGAGGGCGCGCGAGGGAAAGGGACGGAAGCACTGGGGCGTGGGGAGCTCGGCTCACTGAGCATGCTTAACTCACATACCCTTGCATCCACTTTAAGCAATAATGTTTATCAGAGCTAACAGCGAATTTTAAATGTAGAAATGCATTTTTAAATACTTTGCCAACTAAAGGCCGTTCTTTTGATGGTATTTCTTGAAAAATGTTTGTTTTAAAATAAAATTATTTTTATAGCATGTTTTGTGATCATTAAAATAACTAAAGACTATCATAAATCATCTAGGATTACCGAGTTTATTTTACGATTTACACATAAACATTATTTACTTTTCACACTTTAAAATGTTTAGTTCATTTTACTCTAGCAATTGTATTGATAAAACAATGATAAAATAAAGAATAAATAATTATAGCTTCAATAAAGCTTTTTATATAATTGGTAACAACAAATGGCTCCTTATTTCTTGAGGACAGCACAGTACAAAAGCGAAACAGCATTATTTATTCTATATATAGCAGTAGATCTGCAGCTCCTTTAACTTCTTCTTTCTGATAGTAAAATCTTCAGGTCGTTCCGAAGTTTACATGTCCTGCTTTTCATTTTCATTTTAAATTAAACAACTTTCCTGCGCACAGCACACGGCGTATGCGTGATATTTTCTTAAGGCAGTCAACCAGCGAAGCAGTGCCACTGCCACTTTTTGATTAATTTTTAAATAAACGCGCTGCCATAAAAATGGGCAAATGGACAAGGCATCGTAAAGGACACGTCCACGGAAAGCTCTTGGCCGGGAATATGGTTTCAGTTACTGCCGTCGAGTTGCCGCGCATAAATTATGAAAATTAATAAAAGTTCACTCGGTATGTGAGAGGAAAGTCCTTCAGACACTTCTTGTCTGCAAAAGTGTTGATGAGCAGTTGACATGGCAACGGAGGAAAATCAAAGAAGAAATCGCAGATTGCATAATTAAAGATAAATTGCGTGTGGAGATGGCAATTTCGCTCGTTAAGCATCCTCTTGAGTTCCTTTCTTTCGAATGGACAGTCTTATCTTTTATCATTATAGTTAAAAAGCTCAGAATTGCTGATCTTGAGCCAAGCTTAAAATAAATTATCCCACTATATTTGTTTTTAACACCGTAAACCGGGCTGAAGTCGCAGTTTAATAATTTTTCCTTAAATAGTAGCAAAACAAAGATCGCAAAACTTATGCTAACATTTTCCAGGTGATAGTTGAACTCATTAAGCAGCCATTGCTGAAATGTTCCATCACACGGGGAATGACTTCAGTCACGTTCCCATTGAAACATTTTCACATTGATTGCTCTTTTTGGCATTTTAACATTTCAAATTGCATTCAACTAGCGTTTTCTATTTTCCTGCAGGTTTTTCATCCGCCACGCAACATCCGAGACGAGAAGCCCTTTGAGTTCAGCATAAGATATAAATTTATAAGCCAGTCGGATGCAGTTGTTAGGTAAGTCGCTGGCCCGAATTGCACCGGCAAACTGACAAATATCTGTGCAGCTCGAAAAGTATCCAATTGATATTGGTTCAATGCATTTTCCCGGGCTCTCCTCGCTCCGAGTTTGTCTTACTGTCAGCCAACCGGGGTAATGTCATCAGTCTGCTTCAGCTTTCCCGCTCGAGTTTTTATCTATACATAGATGTTTCTATTTCTGGCCCGGCTCAATTCAAAGGTTCTTGCTTAGAACTTAAATCTTTCTACCTGAGAGAACAATGGCACTCGGTTGCCTTGGGGATGGCGTTTTCGGTGCATTCCGAGTTGGGGCAGCCTGCATAAAACATGAGCCCGTGTACCGTCTAGTTCCTCAATGGGGTTTTATCCTCACCTCATGTATTTGTAGGGCAATCCGTTTGTGCCTTGTGCCTAGGCATGTGTCAAATTTGTCTCCGCATCGCTTTCCCCGCCCAACTTCCCAACTTCCTTTCCATGTGTCGCGCTCTTTGTTTGCAGGCGGAAAATGAGAGTGGGGGAAAATGTAAAATTGAAATGTATTTTTACGCCTGAATAATTTTCACAGAATTTCCAAGTGCAGGCGGGGTGCACGGCAAACCTAGAACTAATTTCGTTGCAACACTTGAAGAAATAGTGCAACAAAAGGGATTACTATTTGTAGCAAGATAAAATATCGATGCGATTAAAGTTATTTCAAATATTGCAACTGCACGGGATTGCTCTACAGTTGGTGTACGGTCAAATTGTTATTTTTTAAAGTGGATTCTCCGTTCGTTGTCCGTGAATCGTGTGCACACCATTAGCAATCTAAACAATGATCACAGCCCCAGGTATGACCACCTACACATGGTTGGATGTTTGTATGTGCGAGCGTGTGAAATGCCCGTAGCACATTTTATGCAAATTGAGAGCCTTTGTGTTGTTGTTGTTGTTGTTGTTGTTGCTGTTGCCGCTGGCCCAGACTTAAATACCATTCAAAATGTAGTCGCACGGAGCGAAACCGAAAACGAGCCAGAACGATGAATGAAAATGCTAAACTCGCACAACACTTAGTGAACTGAGAACTGAGAACCGAACCGAACCTTTGGCCTCTTTTTCCAGATACGGCCTGCCCGATAAGCCGCTTGAGTTGGGCCGGGTGACACCGGGCACCTATTGTACCAGGCAATTCGACGAGTGCTATCGGAACAAGTGTCGCCTGCAAAGTCCGAATTATCCCGGCATGTATCCGAGGAACGTAACCTGCTACTGGACGATCCGGCAGAAGGAGGTCCCGACCAGCAAGCACGCTATGATTGCCGTCAGCCAGGAGAATCAGCACAAGGCCTTGGTGAAGCGGTAAGTGGGGGGCGGAGTTGGACTACCTGCATCGGAGAGCATTAAATAAGCATTACCATTCTGCCCCACAATCCGACAATCCCAATGCCACTCCCGCACCCGCACCGAATGCATATAGATACTATATATGGTGCATACATATCCCAGACTGGCTGAGTGCATCTGCATCTGCATTTGTATGACAAATTTCAATTTGGCAAATTGCTAAGCGAAGTTCCAGTTTGCAGTTTGTTAACTGACGACACAAATGAAACTGTTTCGTGTCCGAGAATGTTAAGCATTCGTCGCCCGAAAAGTTTTGTATATTCCAATTAAATGCTGCAAACAGACAGCCGGTGAAATTTGTATGCAAAACCGTATTACGGGGCAGCATGTGAAGTTTGTAATTGGATTGATGGGATTTGGTAAATGTATTTTTGATATTAGCTGCCATTTATTTTCAATTTTCAAAGAGGCCAACTAAGCTTCCTGAGGGAAGGTACAACAAAGTCAGTTTCCAGCTGCTGTTTTCCTCCTACAAAAAAGTCAACATGGAAGGCTTTATTCGATTTAAAGAAACTTTTTATAATACCATTAAAATAAAAAATAAATAAAATGGCATTATATGAGTAACCATTGGGCAACCATATCTTTCAATGTATTAATGTCTGCTAACAAACACATACATTTACCAAAAAATAAAAACTTTTTTAATCTATTAAAATAGGTATTTCTTTTATCCTTCAAATATAATATTGTTTTGATTTTAGTTTGTTTTTTTAACGGATTTCACATATCAAACACTATTGTTTTGACCCCAGCTGTATGTATTTTATGGCCTGGCTTTGGCAAATGAAAATGTTTTCATTGCATTCAATTTGATTGCTTTTCTCCGATTTCAATTGTACATATTGTTCTGGTTCTTTGGCTCACCTCTCGAATATGATTTCTGTTTTTCTCCATCCACGATTACAGCTCAATAGCCAGCTTCAATAAAACGTCGCGGTCCATTCGAGCCTGGTCGGACTGTACAGGTGAACGGGACCATTTAATCTTCTACGACGGCAGTTCCACCAACGATCCTGTTTTGGCCAAATACTGCGGAGGAGATTGGTTGCCACGCGTTGTTTCACGGTGAGTCAGACGAGAAAATCGCACTCAAAGCTCTCGCATTTCATAGAATTTCACGATATTGTTCATCTTAATAAGGGGGAATGGGGAAGGGGGTGGTTGGGGGGAACAGCAGGCAGACAGTCATAGGACATTTATTTAACGCCGTTTCTTCCTTTTATGAAAAAGTTAAATACGAGCAGAGCAAAGCTCATAATATAGTACATTTACAAGAAAGGATAGACAGACATTTTTAATGAGCATGTGTGTGTGGGAGTGTGTTACTGTGTGATGGTGTTAGTATGGTCCACAGAGATGGCACAAAGTTTGTTTTCTAAATCAAAATATAAATGAGAAAGGTTTCATTTACTATTTTTGTGTGTCTTAATATATTTAATAATTTTTTGAAACTTTAGTATATAAATCATCATATAAATATAAAATGCTTTGCACTTAAGAAATATTTAAACAATTTTTAACCAACCGCGAGTTTATGAATTATCTTAATTTTTCAGTTATTTAGATAGATATAAGTTTATTTAGGTTTTATGGAATAAGTTCATAAGGATTTAGGCTTGGAATTTGTCCTTGGTATCCACAAGTGATTCCTCAATCACGGTGAATGGGGAGCAAGAATCCTTTTTCCGCATCACTGCTGGTGTGCAGGACATTGTGAGAGTGTGTGTGTGAGCGGAGACCGCAGCCTAGTGCACTGCACTGCAGTTTTGGCTCGGGGCGCATGTGTTCCAATTCAGTTACTCATAGATACAAAGACCCACACACACACTCACACACTTTCACACACACACGGAAGAGGGGTTAGTGTGTGTGCGCTCTACAATTGTGCGCAATGCTTAAGCAAAACCGGAAATTGGGTTGCTCTGCAGACAGTAACCGAAGGACAGACACGGAGATCGACCGACAGACAGTCGGAGCGAAAAGTGAAAAAGAGATGCGAAATCCGAGATACAGATACACTGGCACACACTCGCACACACACTTGCCACAGAAAACATCCTGGCGCACACATAGAAACAAATAGATTTATGCTGCCGTTTGAAACTTTGCTAGTGCCATCTATTGAAAACATTTTGATGCATGTGATTTATGCAACGGCAAAATTTTGCTCATTAGTTCCAAGTTGCCTGCATTTAGATCATCAGCCATAAATTCTTAAAGACGCCCCGGCCTTTCAAAAGCAATTTCGAGTTTTCAAACTCCACGCACACAGGCACACCTGCGGTGTCCTGGAGTTTGGCTTTAGCAATTAAAATGCAACTACTAATCGGTGGGGTTTCGGATTTGATAGTGCAAATAGTCGGCCATTAGTGCGACTAAGTTCAAGACGGAAGTTTTAATTTATCTGAATTTTGGTTGTTTTCGGTACGGAAAAGAAAAGTATTACCGTAAATAAAAAAAACAAATTCATTTAAGTCCTTCCCACAATATAACTAGTTCATAGTTTGCTTCTTTCATCTTCTTATTGTACTTAAAAGCCAATAAATAACAACAAAAATGTAGTTTTCCAGTAAAGTATTATTTTTATAGTAAACAAAGTAATACAAATTTACCAATTTTGGTAAAAATAGGCATATATTCATTGAAATACTGACATATAATCCAATCTAACCCCCGTAACGGCCTTAACATTGAATGTTTCAACTAAACTTCTTAGAAACTACCTCACTTGCATACTTTGTACAAAGGTGACCTGAATATTTTAATCCCCATAAACTTAGTAACACATTTATCACCGAAACTTGTGAACTACCAACTCATTGGGTTTGGATTGTCATAAATTCCTGGGAGTCTGCTCTCGAAGCCCTCAAAAACACTTTAAGGACCTGCCCGAAATGCTAGAATGCAGCTTTCAGCCACGCCCACGTATTTCCATGGCATTCAAGTGGCCCAGTCCTCCTCCTCCTCCTCCACCACACAACTCCATAGCCACCTTAAGCCCCCTTTGACGGCGCCTCTGGCCATTTATCTTGCACTTGAGATTTTGTTTTTGTTGTCTTTCGGTCTTCGGTCGAGGCCAAAAGTTTGCTCTTTTGCAGGGTCTTCTCTGCCCACTTGGTGACCTCTTGAGACATGCACATAAACTTTGGTATTTTTTGCGGAATACTATATGTCTTATTTTTAGTTTTTTTTTCACGCAGCTGTTAAAACATACCATGGGTGATCCACAATAACCAATTTCGAATAAGTGCCAAAATTAATTATAAAAAATATTCCTTCTCTAACAAAGCTGATAATACAGTTTACTGATAAACTGAGTTTACAAGACATTATAATTTTGTCTTATATAGATTGTGCAAAGATGATGATAGCTTTGCCTTGTGCACCTTAATCTCTTAATGAGTTGCACTCTCGCATTTATTGACATCCTTTCCGTATCCTTGGGAAAATCCCATAAGCGTGCACAGGTGCCAGAAAAGGGGAGACGGGAACGGAAAAGAGGGGGGGCGGCATCAAATATGCATAGAGCGTAATATGCACATGAAGGAGAAAACGAACGAAGCAAAAGACGCTCAGAGAACTTGATGGAAAAGTGGGTGCCGAAGAAAAACGGCATTAAGAAGCCAGGACCGTAACTCATGTCGCGATTTCCTCTACCCGCGTTGCACTCATTTTCCACATCCTTTTTCTTACCAGACACGAAGAAAAACATTTCTATTCTGATTTTAAGAGCTCCGCAGACCTATGTTTTAATTATTTGTTAAAATGTGGAATGATTTCTTTTGTTAAACCATAAATATTGGTAATAAAGAAAACGCTTGTAGTTTTTTTGATATAAGACTTTACTATAAAGACATTTTAATATTGGAACTGATTTATGCAAATATGTATTATTTCCATTATTTTTCGCATGCTATGAGATTACATCTTTCCTTCTTTAACTAACCTTAAAATAAAATGTGCGCTAACCAAATATTTTTTTCTTTGGATTTAACTATTTGTAATATCTTTCGGTGCACTCTGTCATCGTCATAAGCGACACGAGCACAAGAATTATAAATGCACACAAACACGCGCGGGAAGAGTCCTGCTGCTCCTTCTGCAAACATCTCTCGTTTTACTTCTCACCTCAGTCATGGTTCCCTGACTTTGTACGAAAATCGCATATGCACACAAGGACGAGAGAAAGTGGGCGTGGAGGAGGCGGTGAGGAAGAGCTACACGAAAATTATTAATTTCCCAGAGCAACTTAAAATTGCAACAAGCTGAAGGTGCCGTGAGACGTTGGCATTTTATTGGCTTCTTTTTCGCTTTTCCATTTTCGGAGGTGTGTGAGGGAAAGCTGGAAAAGCTATATTTTTCTCCCAGCTGCAGCAGCAGCAGCAGCTGTTGATTTTCCTCTAAGTAAATGTTAATTTTTGTTAGCCAAGAAAAGAAAAACCCAAAGCGATAACTTTTTAAATTGCATATTAATTTTTTATGGCGCAAAATTTCCTTCCCCTCGCTCTTTTCCGCTCCACCTGCTTTTTGTGGTTGCACTTTGCGGATTAGACCTGATGAAAATGGAGGAAGGAAAACGGGATGTTTGCGTTTGGTTAATTCTAATTTTTGGGAGGGAGATTGGACTTAACGGACTTAAATAGAAGGCGAAATAGTTAATGTACCAGTACTAATGGTTACTTAAAGAACGTGTTTTTAAACATCTCTACTGATATTAAAAATAATATAAAAACATTAAAGTTCATTAAAATTCTTTTGAATTCAATTGTAATAGCAAATAAGTTTAAGGCAACTGGTTTGCTCAGCTTTAGGACTGAAATTACACATGTATTGGCCCTCCGTATAATTTATCTAGGCCCAGGTCCTTTAATCACTTCAAATTCTCGTCTGCTCCTGAGGTCTTCTCCAAACACGAGGCTTCCCAAAACCCCGAGGGAGCAGGATGACCGCAATTCCATAGAGTTTCGAGGGGGATATTCGGGGAGGTCCTGGCTGCCATTTGCGGTCAGGACACTCTGACGCTTCGGAGAAGTTTACGTGTATTGATAACCGACAAAGGGACGGCGATTTAGACCAGAGGTCGGCGGGGGCAAATGGCGAGTTCAACAGGGAAGTTGGCTATGGATTCGTGTTGATTTTACGACACCCACAAGTGTGCCGCAGGCCATAAAGTAACCAAATGCCACGCAAGTACGCGTACCAACCAGACACTCAGAAAAACGACATGAAATTTTAAAATGTCAATTTAAAAAGATTTTTAAGTTTAAACTTTAAGTTAAAACTTTTGAAATTATTTTTTTAAATGATTTTTATTATGAGTAAATCGTTATTTCTGCCACATATTTTTTTCACAAGGAGCAAACATTTTTTTTAAGTTTTGCACTACACATAAGGTGGGATGTTTTTTTCTAAGTACCGCTGCACACACAAGCTCAGGCAAAAAGGACATTCCCCAGCAGCCAGGACATGCCCCAAGTGAACTCCAGAGGCCCGAGTGGGGACCAAACATTTGTGTCGCTTTATTAAAAATTAATTTACTTTTCATTTGCAGTTTATTGCACTTGGCACTGTCAGAAAGCATTGCAGCTGCTCCCCAGCCCCGACTCGCCCCTCTAATCCAACCTCCATATCTAAGAGCACGTCTCGCTTAAATAATAAGGAGCTTTGCCACCCACACTTGGCCACACTTACACGTATTAAAAAGCCATTTTGTTGGCCATGTTTGATGGCTTTTGACATACCATCCTCTGCGCGGCGTTTCTCTTTAAGTGTTCAAAGTCTTGGCTTAGGTGGGTGCGTGAGTGTGGGAGCTCAGTTTCCGTTTTATTTTATGTCATGCCATATTACGCATACGCCGTGTGTGGGCAGGCACCTCTTGCCCGGGCAATAAAAATTCAATTTGATGTTTAAATTGAAAACTTTGAACATAATTTATATGGTCATGAATGCCGCATGCTCAGAAGATGGAAAAAGTCCCCTGCACCTGGGTAAATTGTTTTTGAAGAGCAGCGTAACAGTTGACAATAAAATGGGATTTCCTTTGAGTTTGATTTTGTATTAGTTTGACACTAAACAGTACCTTATAGTAAGTTACTTTGTTTGCTTATAATCTTTTGTTTAAATTTTAAGGGATACAGAAATGGGTTTTGCTGGATAAGCTCTTCCTTAAAGAAGATTTTTTCTAGAAACTAATAACTCATTAAATTCTTTTGTGGGAATCGCGTTATTGCAGGCGTTCAAAGTTTTATCAACACTCGATGTCACTTCCATGTCTGCTGCTCTTCCCTTTCCGCTTCCCGTGAAATCTGGCGTCGCGACGTCTGCAAATACCGACAAAAATATAAGCGGGTAGAAATGCTCTGGGTGCAACACCCACCAGCGACTGACATTTCATAATTTTTGGCTAGAGAAATCAAAAGACAAACGGCAGAATGCTTGGCCCAACTCGACTCAGTTACTTTGTTATGCCAAAAAATTTGCCTACAACTTTCGTACGCCACCCACAAGCACCCACCAGCGAGACAATGGCGAAAAAAGTTAATTTGGCAGCAAAAATGCAAACAACCAGACGGAGCGGACACTTTAAATAGCCCAAAACAAAGCGGCGGAGCACTGCGTCATACTTTTGGGCGCGGTCCGTCGGCAATTTGGCAAAACGCCCGCCGAGCTTGTTGTTTGTGCCATTTTGTTGGGCTGTTTCGGGTTTGTTGCCTCTTTCGTGGGCAAAAAGTTTACGACTTTTCTTGTTTGCCGAATTGTGCAAATTAAATTTATGTGAGCCGAAGTTTTTTCACGCCTCTAATTGGAGTGCCAGTGGCCTGGTTATAAACAAACATCGCCAGCAGCTCCACCATACGAGCGGTATTGGAAAGAACTTCTGGGATTTCTTTCAAAAAGTTTTCGGGAGCCTGGTGGTCGCCACTCGTGGCCAAGTTTTATAGAATCTTGAACAAACGCTAAATTATGCTAATATCAAGCTAATTTAATTGTGTATTTGGTGGTTATGGGGCTCAAAAACCACCAGACTTTATTTCTATCCAATTGATTTTATATCTTTCTAATATTATTCTATTAATTCTAAAGTTATGAGTTAATGCAAACATTTTATTGAAATATTGTTGTTAAGTTAAAATATATTTAAAATGCATAAATATAGACATACAGAAACGATGTTTTTGAATAACTACAGAAATAATATATTGTTTAATTGATTAAAAGTTAGATAAATTGATTTGGGAACCTCATTTCAACAGATGTTGTGTACATTGTAATATTCATGACGAACTCACATTGAAATGGCTGAATAAATACATCCATAAATGATATGTCATGAGCCTGTGTTAATACGATTTCAATTGATTTTTCTCACTTTCAGCGGCCCCGAAATGCTGGTAGCCTTCCACTCGAGCCCGTTTTCAGCGCCTTTGCAGCAGGGGATTCCCAATCGGGGCTTCGAACTGGACGTGGACATACTCTTCACCGATTCCGACTCGTTCGACTTCGCCCAGGGCACCAAGAACCTCTGCGAGTTCCACATAAATGCCTCGAATCCAGGTAAGAGGGAGATCCGCAAATGAATATGAATAACCATAATTAAGGGCAATTAATGGGGGCTCAGCTGCAGGTGCAGGTGTGGCAAACTTACCCATAAAAGACACTATCAACTGGGTCAGCACTTGCATTTCGCTCACAGTTTTTCCCTCCTTTTTAACTTTTCCGGATTTCTTATCGTCTTCTTTATTTAATACTGCGGAGCATCCTCTTCTTTGTTTTAACTGGAAATTATTATTTATATTGCCTGCTGATGAATGTTTCTTGGATGAACACTCCGTTGGCTGCTTAATTGCCATAAAAACAATCAGATGTCGAAGTCCCATTTCTTTCTGTATTTTTGTGGCGTGGTGTAAGCGGAGTAGTTTGCGGCGGTGTTTTCTTGGTGGCGTAACTTAATGGGCGTGTCCGCAGCTCTGCCGCCTATATTAGCCTTTGGCTCTAATCTAAGCAGACTAAATGAGATTTTAATTAAATTCAAGGCCAGACGAACCCCCCACGGAGACCAAAGACTTAAGCTGGCCAAATGGCTTTTTAGGCTTGACTTCATGTGGCGGCCAAAAAGAAAAGTATGAGAAATTGCTAGGGCAGCAAATAATGTTATGAATCAACTTTGGAAAGGAGTGAGCAAATTAAATGTCTAGGGATGTGGTTCGTTAGAAAATTATCCCTTTTATTACTTCAGGTTTTTTAATTACTTTTATGATTATTTTAACTCATCAACACCTTGGCAGTCATGATTTACGTTTACCTACTACTTTGTTATATGATTTATAGTAATAAAAAATTTGAATACTTTTTTTGAAAATGGAAAGTGTGGTTGCCTTCAGCTCCTTGTAGAAACAATAATTAGCATTCCCCACTAACCGAATGTTCTGCTTGAAGAAGTGCACTATTCTAAGCTTGTTTTTCATCATCTTCGCCCACTTCCATAAGCTTTCTCCTACTTTTTCTGCATCTTTCACCCGAACCTTCCTCTGACTGGGTTTTGCCCGGAATTTCTGGCTCCTCGGTCAGCAGTCAGCTGCATTTAATTGAAAAATTATTAAATGAAATTTCAGACTGCCCTCCTGAGCCTCTTGGGTGCCGGAACTCGAGAACTCGGGAACTCGGGTACCAGGGAACTCCAGAACCGCTCCATCAATTTAGTGCAGCAGCCGCAGCGGTGGCCAAAAGGAGGCAACGCCATGGCAGCCGCTAATGTTCATTAATTTGCACTTAATAACTTTTGAGTAGATTTTATTTTGCTGGCCAGCCCGAAACGCTGAGCTTTTATTATTTCCCTCAACGCTTTTTTATCTTGCAAAAAACGAAGAAAATTGAGGGACTCTCATTTGAAATTAGTTTTTTGGTTGAGCAGGCAATTTCGGCAGGGAAAAGTATGGGGCAAATCAACTCATTCCCTGTTTATTTTCCCTACTTCTTATGCTTTACATAACAGCTTTTCTATGCCTTGTTGTTGTGCTCATTAACTCGCCAGCTTATATATATAGCTGTATGTATTTGGCCGTTGTTGTTGTTTCAGCTTGTGCTTAATTTTTGACCGTTTAACTTTTGGGAAATGCCTTTCATCCTCATCCCATGTTCCCTTGGCTTTTTCACTTCGGTTTGGCTTAATGCGTTGGCTGGGAAATTGAGCAGATGTGTCTGCCATCATTAGGCCGGCATTTGAAGGTGGGTGCAAGGAGTTTTGACCGACGATTCCGTTGAATTATCTATCTTAGTTATAACCTATTCGAAACGAAGTGCTTTAAAAGCAAAAATTAGTATGAAAGAATTATATATTTTAAAGATCCTCAACTGGATCTGAATCTTTTATCGAATTAAATGACTTAGATCTTTTGTAAATTTTGAAAGTTTTATAAATAGATACAAAGTCCTTGTACAAAACATACCTATGAAAGTGTTATAAATAAACAAATATGTTTAACAAACCAAATAATAATTCAAAAACAAATAAAATAAAAAGAACGTGTATAAAATGTGCTCAAAATAAATGCTGATAAAGCCAAATTTTTCTCTGGCAAAAGCCTTTAATTATAAATAACGAATCGCATTCCAAACAGCGGCAAAATGGAAAATATGCCGCGAATTCCTTCAGATATGGCAACACATTGCGGCTTGTTCAATTAGGAGAATTTGGCCAGCGTATGAAACATTTATTTATAGTGGCCAAGGAGCCATGCGGTGTTGAGGGGGTTGGAAGGAGTTGGCCACCAGTTCGGCAAACAAGGCGGTATAATTGTTTTGTTATCGACGCACGCACACTCCTCCACGGCCACGCCCCTTTTAGCCACCCCTAATGCCAACGATTTTAGGGGAAGGGGCGGCAGCATTGCGCGGCGCAAATAAATTATTAGGGGGTGCAGCATGATTTTAATTAAAGTTTTAACGAAAACCAAATATTTATCGTTTCATTCTGCTTTCATTTGTTTGCTGTGTGCGGTTTCATTTGCCCCTTCATCCCAGAAACCGGGCTTTGCCACACAAACAACAACATCATTAGGCATGGGGACGCAAAGCTCGATATGCAATTGTATTTGAATATTTAAAAATTTTTAGAATATTTAACAGGAGGACGGGCGAGCACAAGGACATTCTATTATAAACAGCAAAGGTCATTTCAATGTTGTATGGTATCATATGTGTGCGATTTTCAATGCGATTTTCGTAGAATATTCAATGTAAATAATGCGCCAGGACCACGCGGCGTATGATTAATAAACTGCAGATGCAGATGTTTTGTGTACATAAGTTTGGCTTGGGTTTCACTCATTGCGTTGATTACGAAACTGAATCTGTTGCATATTTAATTTGGTTTGATTTGGCCATAACTTTTTCAATTAACTTTAATTAAACGTGCAGCTTTCCCTTCAGACAGGGAAGAAAACCCTCTGGGTCTGCGGTGTGTGTCGATTTTAATTAAATTTTGTTTGCTTGTAATTTTCCGCTGACAGCCCTTATCGGCGTTTAAAGTGTGTTTAAATCAATTGCAAAAATATCGCCGAGGTTTTCCGATATTCATCAAAAAGTTCTTGGGTATTTTCATAGCCAGAAACGATTGTCATAGCTGCCAATTGCCTATCCAATTATTTTCTAAAAAGGATTTCTCCGTCAGCGAGGCGATATCTGACCCAATCAATATTCGATTCCGTCTGGATTCCCTAATTAGTGCTAATCAACTTCAGCCAAACATTCCACATGCAGAACCGCCCACAAACACGGAAAAAACTTCACCCAGCGAATATTTGACATGTCCATCCCCATGGCAACTTGTTCTCACATCCAACGCCGACAATCAGAATCGGGTAATAAATTACCCTATATGGAATCGCTGTAAGATTCGCCCAATTCATTTATGCCAACTAAGCAGCACAAGATGAATACACAAGCAGAGAAAGGGGAACTGGGTAATCACAGATGTCGCGAATTTATTGCCATAAGCCAAGAGAAATATATTTGGATTATGCTTTGAACTTTAAGCCAACTCTTGGAAATATAGCAAAATATTAACACAATTTAACTGGTTAGATAAAATGAATTGCATTTTACTTTTAGATTTAAAATTGTTAGGTTTGAGTTTAATTACTTATACCAAAAACATTAAAAAAATCAAATAACGTGAAAAATTTAGATTAAAAACTTATTTATTTGTTTGGAAATCATTGCTTGACATTTTTTAATCCTCACTAATAATGTCAAACCAAAAAGGTTCTTAGTCTGACCTTAAATTAAAACATTGAGCATCTCAATTTTATTCTTATTTGACAGCTACGGTTTGGCCAGTTCTCCCTTGCCAATTCCACGAAAGTTGTTTTGACATTTTTCTGTTCATTGATTTACGGATTATTGTTGATGACATAGTGGGGGGAATCAGCGATTCGCCTCGCAGAACTTAGGTTCCCCTAAGACCTTCCACTCAACCCCAGTAACTCACGCCATTTCTTTGGGGCCGCCCTCAGCTGTTGTTACACCTAAAGTTTCGCAAAGTTTTTCAGCAAACTTTAAACAAAAACCTTTCAATTTTGCTGCCTTCTTTTTCCTTTTTCTGTCTGAACGTTTGTGGAAATTTTCCTTTTTAATTTCATAAAGTCAACAGACGAAAACAAAGAAAGGGAAAGCAAACAATGAAGCGTGGAACGGCGGGCAAAGACAAAGGAAATTTGTATTTAATGTGCAAGTGTGGTGCAAATTGGGTGAGGGGAAGTAACATTTAAAATTTAAGGTGCTCGGCGAAAGGGAAAGTATGGAATTAAGCGATACAAAACTGCAGCAATCATAATTTGTACTGTAAACATGATAACTGTATATTTGTTTATCATTTACTTACTATTCGAGTAAGTAAGAAAGTATTAATGTATGAGGAAGTATAAATCGTTTTTGGCATTCCTAAATAAGGCGACGACCTCGAACCAAAAGAGTAAAAAAAATTTTAATGCCTTGAACTTCAATTTTTTCATATATTCTTGATTTTTATTTTAAACCAACTATTTGTGAATCCCATATATATTTTTGCTTACAATGCGCGACAAAATCCAATTTTGGATTTCCGCAATAATTCTTTTGTAATAAGTTTCTCTACATTGCTCTAAATGTCCTCGAACAATTCATTTTTGTGTTCTTAACCTAAAAACTGGGAATGTTAAAAAACCTTATTTTATCTGACTTTTTTTCAGGATTAACAATTATAGAGATGTATAAAAAACATTATTTAAATTGGTTAATGTAGACCTGTGCTATTTGTGGCTTAACTCTTCAAACTGTATTGTACCAAACCGCGTAAATGGAAATCGGGCTAAATTTCTCCGGTTTTGGCTAATGCGCATGGGAGCGAAATCGAAGGAAGTGGGTCTGCGATGTTGGGGAAGCTGGTGAATATTTGCTGTTTAGTTTGCTTATTGAGTTGCAATTTTGTTTGCAATCAGCGGATGGGAAGAGGAAGCAATAGAAAACAACAACAGAGCCGGCGAAGGGTGCAAACGGGGGGAGGGGAGGGGGTGATTGGCAAACAACAAATTAGCATATTTGCACATAACGGCAACATTTTATTTGCATTCGAATGTGTGTATGTGGGAGTGTGTGAGTATGTGTTTTCGGATGTGTGTATGCGCTTTTATGTAATATCAATATTTAAACGTGAATTTGTCAATGAAAAGCAGAACGTTGGGAACTTTCTATTAACTGTGTGCCATTTTTTGTGGGATTTGATTTTTGGGCAAATATTGAAAATATTTCAGGATGTTTATCTAAAAATGTATTCCGGTGAGCAGATATTTGCAGAGAGTTTACTTTAAACGGCTTTAATAACATTTAATTTGGCCAGCGATTTTGCTTATCAGCCGTCATCTTTCAGGCAACCAAACATAAATTGGCTGAAAGCTTTGGCAACTTAATTTTCCATGGAAATTAATTATTGGGGCAAACACCCGAAATACGAAAATTTCCATTGGGGACATGGGGCATGCCTGTGCATATATTTATTAAGCTACTTTCAGCCCCGCAGCCAGAAATTTTGTAAATTTTGGTTTTGGCCGTGCACAAAAACATAATTAACTTGCTCGATCTGATGCATATAAGTACGACCAACAAATGTGGTGGCAAAAATCGGGTCGAGGGGCAAAAAGTGTGTTTTTGTTTGCTTTTCATTTAATATTTATTACGTTTAATTTGCTTTGCTCCTAGGGCCAATCATATTCTCTATTCGGACTGGGAATTGTTATTCTTGTTGTAGTCATTTTGTTTGTTACTAGATTTCCAAATGTTAATTTGGTAACTTACCCAACAACATCTTTTTATAGATTATTAATATCGTTTAAAAAATAAAAACGCATTAAATAAATTTAATAAATTAAAAATAAAGCCTACATTTGTAGACGAGTTTTCTTAACAAATTTCTTAATTGTATGGATCTTTCCGCATTTTTTCCTAACTTTAGTTAGGCTTTCTCAAAAAAAATTTGCTGTTTTGTAAACTTGAAACATAGTAAATCAAAATAAATAATTACTCGTAAACAAATTCGAAAATAAATTGAAATCGCTTGGAAAAATAAATCGAAATCGGCCCAAAGCGCCCGGCACATTTATCAGTTTAATGTTGAATGACCATTAGGCTTATGGCGATTTACCGGCTATTCAACGAAACCAATTCAGCGCCATCAAATATGCGTGACAATCCATTAAGTGATATATTCGTAGTGGACCCCACTTGCATTTTAAATCGCCGTCCTGAAACAGTTTCACTGGGGTTCGGTTTCTGGTTTGGCTAATTGTTTGAATGTGTTAAATGTAATGCAGCATAAAACGAAAATAAACACACCCAGTTGGTAAATTCGCTATGGGCACATATACATATACATATCAGCCTGCGGGGCAAAATCTATTTAATTTGCACCGGGTCTGCCCCCCAAAATCGAAAAACAACAACTAGAGCGGCGATCCAATAAACAATCAACGGAAAAGGAGGGAGAATGGAAATGGAAATGCTACTCAATCAGCAATAGTTAGGATTCAGGTCCCTTTTCCTTCTCCCCGCAATCAATAAAAGTAACACCCCATAATTTAATGCCCCAAATGTGTTGCGACTACATTTTGCGGTTTCTGGCCAAGGGAAAAAACACAAAGCCACCGTAGCCGTTGCCATCATTTCGCCGCCACCGGCGGCCCAAATGCACTCTAATAATAAATCGCAGAAATAACAATTTTATTGCCAGGGCTTGCGGTTTCCTATACCTGGTCCAAAGCTCCCGAGCCCACAAACACACCTGTCTGCGCAGTGTTGCCACTCGATAGTCGCACTTTATGGCCAGCTGATAAGCATATTATTATTATTGCTACCATTACGCACCCACAGTCCCGCCTGCGAATCCTGCCGACTTGAATTATTCCAGTACGTGTGTGCGACTATATGGCAGTATATATACATATATATACGAGAACTACAGTACACTCATTGTTGTAAGGCCCACGCAGTCAGCACAAATGTGTCGAAGCGAAATTTATTGCGGCCAGCTCGTGCAACTTTGGCCAGCTGAGTACCATCGCAAATTAGAGGTGTGCACTGAGGGTTAGTTTTTGGTTTTTTTCAAAAGACATGCGATACTATCGTTACGTTGCTCTCAATTGCCATCGTTTTTATGATTTATTGCCCAAAATTTAAGTTACCTAACACTATTTCGATAAATATAAGTTATCCTTGACAGCATGCAAGTATTTATTGCAAATGAATGTGAGTTACAAATCCAACGAAACTATCAACTTTTGTTTAAATTAAACTTTAAATAATACAATGGTATTGATGAAGTACCTCCATATACCTACAGATTTTCCGTTTTATTCAGCCTTCGTTACAGGTACCACCCACTTTTCCATCTCTAGGTAAAAGTGCCACCGGCCATCTGTTAACTAATTCACATGCCATGGCAGCAATGGCCAATGATTACATTTCATGTGCCATATGCATTGCCGGGCTCTATATGCTTCTATGTGTGCCTTTCATGTGCCGAGTTGTCGATTATTTTGAGCATTTTAGTTGCTATGTGAAATCACAATTCCCCAGCGAGTTGAAAAATGGTATTGAGATTTCTGTTGACAGTTTCGACTGCAAATTCAATGAATGTTCACTTTGGTTGAGCCACTCCGCACAGAGGGCCTAAAAAATCATACACTCTCATGCATTTGAAATGCGGGTTAAATTTGATTTGTATATATCAAATGACAGAAATGGAATGAACAATGGATTTGAGGTTTCAAAAACAATGTACGCATTTATTATTCCTCGGATTACGTCGACGACGCCCAAATGTAGGCACAACTTTTTTAAACTCGCATTCAGCTTTCGCTGCCTTCAAGGAGCAGCTCATGTTTAAAGACCACTTTACTTTTATATGCCACAACCAGCGAAATGTGACAATAAAAATCTCATAAAAACGTATTACTTAGCAAGCATACACACAATGCACGGGAACAAAAAGTTGAAAGTAAAAATCGGTTTAAGTAATAATTATTCATGACATATCGTCAGAGTTTTTTTATTAGTAACCGCAAAAAGCTTAATTTGATTTTATAAATAGGTTCAATTAACTTGCATCATATTTTTTTCAATTTGTGTTTGTGCTGTGATATTTTTCTGTAAATCATATTGGGACTATTCAATAAGCGTAATTCAAAAACATAACAGGAAGCCAATAAAGCATTAAATTTATAAATTACAAAAAAAGAAATATTAAAACACATTTTACTTACTGAGCTCAATAAATCTGAATACAAATCTAACCTTAGAGAAAAGAAGATATTGACAATCAGTAATCAAAAATATAAATTTATTGAAATTATTTATTTAAACGCATAAGGCTTTGCTGGTTTAACCACGAGTTTAATATGATTTAATTTTTGGTCTTTCATCTTTGTTAGAAGTATTTAGAATTTTTGAAGTGTATGCGAGTAAGGGGAGCTGGCCTCCAACTGGCTTGGTTCTTCAACTCTACGCTCCCCAAAAAAAAAAACGAGCTCAGTCGGCCGACAACTTTTGCCTTGTGGCAGCTGCAGCAACTTTTCCCTTCTGTCTGCCACTCGATGCGGCACATCAAAAGTCTTCTGGCCTCTTTCGCCGGCAAGTTGGAAAAGCTGTCGCAGCGGCTAGAATCGACGCAGGTGTTATCATCGATACCGTTGACGATTGTTTCCTTTATATCGACTGGCACTTCAGCCAGCGCCGCTTTCCCCCTTTTCCCGGCTTTTCCTGCTGGCGCATTGCTACAAAACGTGGCGACTTTGCCAATTGAAGCCCCGAGTAGATGTTGCTTTTTGCCGGGCTCCTTCGCTTTTTGCAGCGTTGTTTTGCTCCCGTTGCCTTTTTTAATTTGTCACTTGAATCAAAAGTTGCCAAAGTTGTCCCAGGCTGAAGCTGTGTAGCTCTGGGTTTTGGTTTTCTCTCTGCGTTGTTAGCCCGGCTCGTTTCGCCGCTTCTTTGTTGCCGTTTCCTCTTGGCAACTTTAATTAAAGCCGAGAGCCGGAATTGCAACATTAGGCAGCTGCCGTTGCTTTAACATTGTATCCCACTCAAACGTTATACAAAGTTGGCTTTGATTAATGAGAGGACATGGTTTAAGATTTTAAAAAATTGGGTTTGGGCAAAGAAACATACAGCACAGAGTAGAGTTTAAAGATCATAGAGCTTAAAAGGGTTTAAAATAATTCCTCATCTTTTTTACCAGTCATTCTTTTAAACTTCAAAGTTTCTGTTCAGGTTTAAAATTTACTTATAATTCCCTCCGTTCACTATAATTAAGTTAATATTTAAAAGTGAGAAGGATATTTTTTCGCTGGGTCGACCAATCGTTTTATCCACTATCTGCCCACAATAATGCGGAGATAATTATAGTATATAAAAACAAAAGGAAAATCCCCAGTCAGGCGCACATTGTAAATTAACCTAAATCACGTGTAAGCCGCTTGTCATACAATGTTCTTAGGAGACATTAAAAAGCATCGGGAAGGACGAGCGACTGTGCACATCGGCGTACATAAATATCTATATCCATACACGCGTGTTTGAATATTATAATCCTCCTCACTCACTCGCCGCTTTTTTCCCTCCATTTTTTTCAGATGATGTGCTATTCTCGCGCCGCGGTCGCATGGGACGCATTGTGAGTCCGCGTCACACGCTTCCGCCGAATACGACATGCACGTACCACTTTCACGGATATCCTGGTGACCTGATTTGGTTATCGTTCACCAGCTACAATCTGCAGATCCTGCAGCAGGCGATACACGACAACAATACGCTGGGACGGGTGAGTTGGGTTGGGTTGGGTTTTGTCGAGCGTCTGTGTTTGCGCCATAAAGCGTTTAACCGAACAGCTCTCGGGGGAAGGGGTAGAAATGCACTGAAAAAAAAATAATTTTTAATCAAGTAGATCCCAGAAATCTGTTAAAATAAGATTTTAAGCAATGAAAACAGAAACGTAGGATCTGAAATTATATCTGTCTTTGAGATACGAGTTTTTAAAAGTTAAACCTTAAAAGGGTTCAAATTGCAAAACATTTCAATAACCCTGATCTAATATTACAATCGAATTTAACGACAAAAACGCTTTACTCAGATGGAATAAATTAAAGAAATCATTTCTTAAAGAAATCGTTAAAAATACAAAAATAAATTGCTCAGCGCCGATGACTATTGGTTCCAGTGTGGGCGTTCAGCCCTGTTATAGTTAACCGTTTACATAAATGCATAAAATTTATGCCCAGGGGAGGGATGCAGGAAGGCAGGGACTTGGGTGGATGTGGGTGGTTGGGTGTTTGGGTGGCTGGGTGGTTTACACCGTTTGCCGTTTGCATTGTCTTTTAAATGCACTGCGTCTACGCCAGCGGCGTCTCCTCCAAATGCCATTGTCTTTGGCCCCTTTTCCCCCATTTATATCTCCATATCCCCCGACATGACTTGCTATTAGTGCCAGTCGGTCGACACTTTGTCTCTGCTGGCCAATTAAAAATTCAGCCATAGAAATGCGCCGTATAAAATGTATAATTAAGTGAAAGCTTACGCAACTCCTAACGAGACATTTTTGAATCTGAAGTCTGCCGCCAGCATCGCCACTGCATCAAAATGCGGCACTGACAACAATAACGTCCTGCTTCATCCTTCGACCATTGTGCATCTCTTTTCTTCCCAAGCTGCAAGGGGAAAATATATAATAGAATGGACCGTAAGCTTCCAAATAGCAAACTAAAATTTTTAGAACCGCTATTATATGACCATATGAAAAACGCATTTATTTAATTCTGTGTTTTATTCTCTGAGTTATAAAAAGATGTTACTCACACTTTAATGAGTGCACTAAATTCCATATTGATGACCGTGAGACAGACTCTAGCTTCAGTGTTCAAAATAAAGGGGTTATTTATTATAGTGTAAGAAAGAGAGTGAATACATTAACAGCTAAAAATCTTTTGAACTTAGTAACGAATTAAAAATATTTTGTTTAAGTATTTAAAGTTAATTTGTTCTGTGTTGTTGGATTTCTTAATTATTTTATCATTTCACTTTCACTGCGTGGACTGCCTTCACAATAAAATCCACAAAACTCAGAATTAAATCCCTTTAGATGAGAACCCGTACAGAATCTTTTAGTAATTTCAAATCTCAAACCACCACCTCTCCCCAGTTTTTCTCAGTGCACTCATCAGAGCGCCGTGTGCATTTAAAATGTTCGTTGTCGCCTGCCTAACGGTCCGTGAATTGTGTCAAGGTGGAATGGAATGTTGAGTTCACCCGGACGAACTACGATAGCGCGTAATGGCGGGTCAGTGGGTGCCTCAAAGGACGAGGCGGTGCCCCTGTCCCCAGATAGCTGGATGGTCATCTAGGCTAGGCCAGGCGAAAGTTTGTCCGAGTCGCAGGATGGGAGGACCTACACCAAGGGGCCCTGATTTATGTTAAAGTGCGATGATTTATGCTCAGTCAGGTCGCAACTGCAAATGGAGTAAAAGCGAAGGGAAAAGGAAAACAAACTTATCTTCATTAATAAATCTTTACAACTTAACTGATTAATATCTTTAAAAAAGAAAGTTATCGATAGCGGAAGGGTATGGGAAATAAAAGCCTTACTCATATAATCTGATTTTTAAAAAATGGATTGGTACAACTTAAAGATGTAATTATTAAAAACGCAATGTCCTTTCTCTTTCCCATATATGCATTTTATTACAATTTTAGGGCCTCAGAAGTTTTTAACAATTCTTTAAGAAGGTTTACGCTTCGAATGCGAGTTCTACTTTAGGTTCGAAAGTCTCAAAAGTTAAAACCATGGTTGACTTCCAAACCTGTTTGTCTAAGTGCTTGAAAATGTCCAACATTGCTCCCATTTCCAGAGTGGGCCAGAAGATCACAGGGCTCAAATGCGAATTGAAATAACAGGAGGTGAAATGGAATGATATGGGCGACATGTCAACGCTTTGCGTGGTCTCATAAATGTCCTCGCATTACAAATATTTCCAACATTTCTCTGCAGCCAGACTCCAATCATTCCCATTCCCATTCCCATTGTTGTGTTTTTTATTTCGTCGGCGAGTTTTAACTTTGGTTCTTAATTTAAAAAGTTTGTTTTGCCTCGCTTTCCCTTGTGTGTGTGTATGTGTGTTTGTTTTTGTTTCATTTGTTTCTTTTTATTTTAGAAAATTCGCATTCACTTGTTCGTGAGCTTGTTGTTGGGCCCACACTCCTCGAAAAAAAGCACCTCCCACGTTCCAGTGACTTCAGTTCCCCACTACCTGCTGCTTTTTGTTTTTGTCACTTTTTCCTCGCTGTTACAAAATTCATGAACTGTTTTTGCCGTTTCCATTCTCGTACTCCCGCCCACCGGAGTCGCCCGTTTTGTGTTTTATTTTACACATATTTTTGTTCTGTCACTTTTTATTGTACTCCCATTTGAAGCTGCTAAAGAGGGGCGAGTGGATATACAGAGAAAGAAATTTATAAGTATATCATCGATATAACAATAATATTAAAGCCCTAAAATATTGGTCATCAAAAAATTCTAACATCCGGTTAATTTTTAATAATAGTTTCCAGTAATAAAAAGATAATTTCAATGTACAAGAAACCCTTTAATACAATTCAAAAATATATCAAAGTTCTTATTGAAAGATAAGAAAACATTATTGTAATCATAGGTTTTGCTTTAATTCCCTGTATAAACCGCTTTTGCTCAAAACGAATACCTCATCTTGTAAATTTGCACTTCGGTGCGGCTGTACACATAACTAACCATTAATTTCTTTCTCTGTACGAAGGGAGGTCGAGTGGGCGGTAGGTGAACAGATAGTAGGTGTTACTGCAAAGTTGTTTTTCCTTATTTCGCCCGCTGCCCCCTCGATATATATTCCTTTTTTCCATTTTTTGTTTATTTGTGTGCTGCTGGCAGCTTTTCATTTTTCGCAATTTAAAGTGTAGGTGAGGCGACTGCAATTGACACGGACAGGGGAGCATCCTGCGGGGGGCGTGGCCCAAAAACGGAAGAGACAATTGTGTGGGTGTTGGCAGAGAGTTCAGTCACCATTTATCTGCTCCCCTTCCCCCTTTTCCCTTCCCAATGGGCTGGCCAAATTAATTGGCAGCGAAATTTTACAAACGCCCGGTGAATGTATCTACCAAAAATAAATTAGATGCCCCTGTTTTATGTGGAATTCGTCTAGACGGGGAACGACCTTGGGTGTATGGAAAGCTTTTGGCAATTTATCTGATTACATGTCAGGTGGAAAGTCTCCAGGAACCCCACTTCGTCCTTCGAAAATGTCTTGAAGAATGTGTGAAAGTAATCAAGGTGCAGCACGTGTGGCTTCCTTTGAGTGTGGGTCTTATTGGTGTGGTTTGTCTGTGGAATTTATTAAATTTAGGAGCAGAGAAAGTGATGGCACTCGAAGCCATTTAGAAATCGCAGGTTAGTTGTTGGCTTAAAATACTTTGGGAAGAACATGTGACATAATATTGACTTAAATGAAGTTTTAAACGTTTACTAGGCAACATAACTAATATTAGTTATACTGCTCATTGGATTCAACTTTTTCAAATGTTTTCAATTTCATTAAAGAAGACAAAAATATTTCTCCTAAGAGTTTACACTTCAAAAGGTTTCGAGAAACTGTCACAGAATCTCACTTAAAATAAAATGATTATTTATAGCCATATATAACTGTGCATCCTTGACATACATTGCAAATAACTTTAAGTTTTAAAGATGTTCAGACAAACTTAAGCTTGCAACGCAGAGGTAAAAGTGTCAGGCAAATCAGGAAAATGAAATGAACAGAGGCAGCGGGCTTAAATGGCTGTCAGTTAGTTTCTGGGCCGACACTTCGAGCCAGCGACTTTGTCCGGGTCCGGAGTCCGGAGTCCGTTACTTCATTTTCTCCAGTCAAGCCACAGCTGTTTGCAACTGTCTTTTTCATTATTAACACAGTCAACAATAATCAGGGCCTAGGCAGAATGGAGTGGAGCGGAATGCTGGGGAGAACATAAACATTGTCAGCCAGGAGGCGTCTAGGAAAAATATTTAATGCCTGCAAACAACAACAAGGAGACTTTGAAGAATGCAAAGACTGAGACTACAACTTCAACAGCCGTCGAGTGTGGAGACCCCTCCACTGGAAGGGGGATAGGGGGTTGGGGGGTATGGTACAGTGACAAACGACAAATAACTCACACTCGGAACTGTTTGAATATGACATGTGACAAGCGGAGGGCGAGCGGACAAACTAACAAAGGCAAAAACAACCAGCCGAAGGGAAAGCGTGAAAAACGCGTGCGATGAAAAGCATCATGGCACATGTCACATACTCGGAAAAATCTTTAAAACTTAGCAAAGAACTTGAAGTGAAAAAAATCTGTAACTCACATTTTCAGTAACTTTATTTTAAATATATTAGGGCTTTTCAATATATTTACTATGATAATAAAATATTAAATATCAATAATAATATGATACACAAAATAGTAAACGATAGAAATACACAACAAAAATTAGAAATTCGGATTTAGGTGTTGATTATTTTTGCTGAGTTTAAAAATACCTTATTATTTTTTGTTTACTTGCGTGAGTTAAATGGGAATTTAAGAGATTCATTCTCATGTGAAAAGTCACCCCACCCCTTTTCTCAGTGCACAAAAAATAATGTCAACAAGAGAATTAAACAATAACATGTGTTCGCTTTCTTCGCTGCTCTCCAATTGTCTTCCTGCAGAGCGATCTGCCACCGTGGATAACCCGCCTGAGGATGTGGGACAGCTACGGGACGTACGTGCCCATGAAATCGACAAGTTCAACCACCGGACAGCCGCCCCCACCGCCCCCCCGTTGCCTCGTCGGCGGACGGGGGCAAGCCCACGCTGCTCAACCAGAGCAACTACGGCAGCTACTACTACAGTGCCAGCAATCCGAAGCTGAATCGGAACCTGCGGGTGAACATCGACAACGCCTGGAACCCGGTGGACACCTACATCTACGGACCCACGCAGTCGAGTGTGTTCAACCAGGAGAACAAGTACAGTGGCTACCAGGGAGGGGGTTCCGCCGGGGGATCCTCTGGCTCTGGAGCCTCGGGAAAATCCCTGTCCGGCGTGAAGGACACCCTGAACTTTATTTCCGGTGGCAAGTCCTCCAAGGAGGTCTCCGCTGCCGCCGTCGTCAGCTCGGATCGCAATAGTGCCGTGGCCCTGATGAGCACCAAGGGGAAGAGGCGCCTCATGCTGGAGATCTACGACTACGAGACCCCGAAACTCTGCGACCACACGGCCATCGGAAGCGGAGTCAGCGGAAGTAGCGCCGTAATGGGCGGCAACAAGCAGAGGCCGTGCAGTCCGCTCGAGAGCTACGTGAGCACCGGCAGGGATTTGGTAAGTACTTTTAATAGTTAAGGAGCATATTCAATAAAATTTAAAGTAAATACATTTCAGCTAGGAAAGTTTGAGTTAGAGATACTAGCATTACCTAATTTCTTATAAATCTTATATAACATGTTTTTTTTATTGGTTATACTTTTACTTAGAATACCAATATCAGTTTAGTTTCACTAAATTTATTGTGCAATTCATAGATAAAATAAACCCAAGTAACTTTAGAAATATTAAAAGCTTTTTCTAGTCCAAAGATAGAAAGCTATGGTGGATCACGTGTTAATTATGATTCCTAATTGGAAAGGTTGACAGAACTACACTTAAAATAAGATTTTTAATTACTTTGAGAACCAATCTCTTGCTTTAATACTATTATTTTAGAAAACAAAAATAGTTTTAGAATAGTTGCTGTTGATAGGGCAATTTTCAGTTAATAAAGAATGCACCGTTTTTAATTTGATATTTTGTGGCCTCCTAAAACTGAGCCACTCTTCATTCTCCTACCGCGTCAGACCAATCAAAAGCGTAGTCTGCCTTCGGGCTTCGTTTGCCATCACAACGAAATGAACGAAAATAAGAACTTAACCAAAGGACTTTTCTAATTTGTCAGCTGCCGCTGTTTGCTTTGTTCGTTTCGGGCCATGGCTTGCAAAATAAAAATAAAATTAAGACGAAAATAAAAATAAGGCAATGGGAAACACGACTTTGCGACTGCACCTTGGCTGCTTGGCTGCTTGGCTGCTGGGCGGCTGGGCGAGTAACGAATGCCGAGTGCCCAATTTGGCACGCCCAAGGGCCCTCACAAATAAATAAAACGCAGCTGGAGAGCTGCGAACTGGAAGCTGGGAATTTTTTGGCAGAGCGCTGAGCGCTTCGTGTTTGCTTTAAACTTGACAAAATTAATCAAATTAAACACTCGACTGCATCGCCAGACGTGCACAAATAACGAAGGAGCGGAGCAAATTTCCCAGAGGCGGGCGCCAAATTCAAATTCGCCAAAGCCCCACACACACACACACACACACAGCACACAAAGGCAAATACTGTAGGCGGCAAGGGGGCGGGACGGAGCGGTCGTGGGGGGCGGTACGGGGGCGGCATTGGCGGCATGCACGGACAAACAGACAACCGCAATAAGCTTGCTTAGCCTTTTTGACGTCGCTCCTCGTTGACAAATATGAACTGCAAATATTGTGATGCCAAATTGAAGCCTCCGCGCATTGTGCAGCTCTACACTGAACAAAAAATATTTTCAAAAATGCATATATTTAATTCGATTCCAAAAAATACAGTAAATACTTCGTTAGTTAAAAGGCAATTCTGACTTTTTAACACCAAATTTAGTATAGCAAGAAAAATACTTATTTCTAACATTTTATGAAAATAAACATTAAAAAAAACCTAAACCTAAGAAATAAGTTTACGAAATTGAAGCCAAGTTATTTTTCTTTTTTTTTACATTTTAGTTTTAAGGAATTGAGTTTATAAAGTTTAAAAAATGCTCAAACCAATTTGTTTGACCTGTATTCCAATACTAAGCTTTTTTTTCCTTTGCAGAAACTGGAGTTCCATACGCACACTGGCACCGCCTTGTTCCCGGCTCAGTTCGCCCTAAACTACGAGTTTGTGGACACGGAGCAGGGTGGCGAAACCTGGGCGGGAAGAAGGGGAGAGGATCCAGTGCCGCCACTCTGCTCGAGGATTTTCAAGAAGCGCAAGGGCAACATCCAGGTTCCCAGGAATGTGTTCCTTTACGGACGAGGCGGTGCCAAAAACATAACCTGCTTGTATCGCTTCGAGGCGGGTCCTTCGGAAAGGGTCAAACTGGTCCTGCACAATGTGTCCTTTGGCGAGGGGACAGCCTGCACCACGGACTCTGACCTGCATACGGGCAGACCTCGCTGCAACCAACTCGATCCGGAGGGTCGCATCACGGAATTGCGTCTGTTCGATGTTCCATTCAGGGACGTGAAGATCCAACTGGGATGCTTCTGCGATAACTCCAGTGCTCTGTACAGCAATGCGCCGCTCACCTTCGTTTCCCACTCGAGGATCATGGAGCTCTCCTTCACGGTTACGAGGCTCAATATTTCCGAGGACTTCGCGGACGTCTTCTTCTCGGCCTCCTACGAGTTCAAAAGACAGCCGGACTGCAGGAAACAGCTAAAACTCAAGGGAGCCGGAGGGGAGGACGAACTGAAGTACCCGCTGAAAACCCAGGACGCCAGTTGCGAGGGGCTGGCCTGGTACATCGAGGCCCAGTCGGCCGAGAGGTCGCTCTTCGTCCAGACCTGGGGCGCCTACCTGCCCGTGGATCCCACCTCCGAGGACGCCATGAGGTGCCACACCAAGAACCGGCTGATGATCTACTCCGGACGACCCCTGCGACCCATGAGGGTCGTCTGCCCGGCGCAAAGTGGACCGCGGCCCATGTCGCTGCACATCTTCTCCGAGGACTGGACCAACGGACAGCCCTTGTTCATGAACAAGTAAGTGAAAATATAAATATTCTAGGTCAGTCATACCAGCATTTTTAGAAGAAATGTTGCTGGTCACTGTGCTTTAAATATAGCTAATTTAAAGTCTCGAAGCTAATTGGTAATTCACTATTATTAATAGTGATCTTCTTATAACAGTCTCAAGCAATGAAAATCTTTACCTGGGCCATATCTTTGAGTTATCTCTATTGTTGTTTAGATTTAAAACACTTGAATAAAGTTACTAAAAGTGCACTACAGTTGGTTTTGAGATTAGAAGTCATGTAGTCTAAGGAAGTTTTCTCTCAAACTTTTGTTTGTTTTGAAAACCCCAGAGAATTCTGTGACATCCCCCCATAAAAAATAAAAGACTGTCGTATAACATGTTCTGAAATTCACGCTCTGATGAAGGCCACCAATCCTGCCTGACCAATTACCCATTCCCGAAAGGACAACTCTTAGAAACATTCATGCGCATTGGCACAGAGACTCATTTCCATTATCAAGTGCATGTGAGTTAAGTCCACTCGAGCACCTGGACGCTACACAAAAAGCCTCTTAGCTCGAGTATTTTTGGGAATTTTTCACTCAAAATTAATTGCATTTTAATAGTTGCTAATATTTCAAAAAACTTCTGCACTTAATGCACAGGCACAAGGTTTTCATGCCTGGACGCCAGGCTCCCCAGATCTCCATCAAAGAGTCCTGCTTAAAAATGCAATAACAGGAAATGGCTACGACGGCAACAAAATACAGGAAATTGAGCGCAAAGAAATATGCTATAAAGAAACGAAAAAAATGAGAACGTAAACGAGATGAAGTCCAGGCAAACAAACATGGCCGTCAGACATAAACGCAAGCACACAATTATGGTCAAATAAATAACGCATTATTAGCCAATCTGTGTGCAACACCAAACAAAAATATTAAACGATGATATTTATTAGGCACCATTAAAGGGTCATCTGTTTGTTATGCCTTTTAGAAAAAACTCAATTTCGATCGCCACTATTTACATTTTAGCTATGTCTTTCTTAACAATTTCAAACTGTTTATCCTAATTATTCAATTAATAAATAATTATTTTATTAATCTAATGATTCTCAAATGTTTGCAAAGACACCAAAGTTATTCTAGCTGTTTTTATACCCTTGCAGAGCAAAGGGTATTATAATTTCAGTCAGAAGTTTGCAACGCAGTGAAGGAGACACCTCAGACCCCATAAAGTATATATATTCTTGATCAGCATCACGATCAGAATCCAAATCCGTCTGTACGTCTGTCCGTCTGTCCGTCTGTCCGTCTGTCTGTCTGTCCGTCTGTCCGTCTGCCCGTCTGTCCTCCTGTCGGTTTCTATGTAAACTAGTCTCTCAGTTTTAAAGCTATCTCGCTGAAACTTTCCCAAAAGTTGTGTAGTTGTTGCACGCAGTATATAGGTCGGAACGAGCCGGATCGGCCGACTATATCGGATAGCTCCCATACAAGAGAATGAAATAAAAAATTCTTACTCCGTTGTTTTTGATCAGATCGACTTGATTTCTTCCAGATGGCGTTTTCTAACTGCTATTGAATTTCGTATTAAATTTTATCAAAATGGGACAACTCTATCATATAGCTGCCATAGGAGAGATCAAAAAATATATATATAAATAATGGAAAAAAATTATAATGTCGTTGTTTTTAATGCCACGAGCATGATTTTTGGAACATCAAGTTTTTGAAATACTCTTAAATCGAGAAAAAAATTTCATAAAAATCGGAGTACTATATCATATAGCTGCCATAGGAAAGATCGAAAATCTATAGATCTATATATAAATAACGGAAATAAAATTATAACCTCGTTGTTTTTCATCAGACAATCATGATTTTTGGAATATAGAGTTTTCTAATGAGTCTTGAGTATATTAAATTATAAATTATTAAATTATAAATACATATTAAATTTGATCAAAATCGGACGACTATATCATATAGCTGTCATATGAACAATATGGTAAATAATAGAAAAATCGTCATAGATTCGATGTTGTTAGCCTTTATGTATTTTGTTTGACATATTTAATGACTGCAAGGGTATATAAGCTTCGGCTTGCCGAAGCTAGCTTCCTTTCTTGTTAAAACTAAATTGGTTTAATAATTGTAAAGAAAACATTAAAATCTACAAAAGCAAGAAGGTTGGAGGAATATTTCACAGGGAAGTGAATTCATTGTACTTGAACTACTAGAGTTTTCACCTTTGCTGTTAACATGAAGCATGCAAAACGAGCAGAAGGCGAAGACAGGTGGAAAACTGGGGGAAAGGGGGCGAAAGGGGGTAAAAGGGTGATACAGGTAAGAGCATTTTGCCTGCTGGAACTTGGCCGTATGTGCTCCGGCAATTTATGTCCAAGGTGCGTGCCACCGAAATGAACCGTTGAACCTGGACGTTCACTCGATTCTTGGGGGAAAAGTCGGGCCAGTTGACCAACCTTCGGTCCCTTTTCCTGGTCCTGCATTTAACGTGTTGCCATTAAATTTTATGGTCAATTTTTTCCCTTCGCCCATGTTTGCATTTTGCTCAATTTTGTCGCCGCAGAACATAAAAAAGGGAGAAAGGATGAAACCAAAAAAAAAAAAAAAAGAGAGAAGGAATGTTGCATTGTGGACGACATGTGAAAACATATTTTTATGGGACCCCAAAGGGTAATTGGACACTGCACTGGATATCCGAACTGGCTAATGAGTGTGTTGAGCCTTTTTAGATAATTAATTGCGAGCTTTTCAACTCAGTTGTGAATTAAAATTACCACACTCTAAAGCACTGCAATGTGGAATTTCTTCAGGGAGTAAGTAGAAAAAAAAATACAAAATCAAGAAGATTGAAAAATGCTTAACCTTTGCTCAACAAGATACTTTGGATGGTAATATTTTGTAAAATAAATTTGAATGTCAAAATACATTTTAACATTTTCATCAAAAACGTAAGAGACTAAATATAAGATACACTACAAAAAACAAATGACCTCTACCTGCAATATTCGACCTCTATGTCTTTACATATTTTTTATTTATCTGAAGAAAAATTTAGTCTTGATTAAAGCTGAAGTATCTAAATATAATAATCAGGGCTAACAAAGTTATGTTTTTAAATGAAAAAATATTTATTTCCATATTTTCGCCTTTTTTCCTATAAATCCATATTTTGCACAATCACTTGAATAAATCCATATTTTGAGCATTAAAGTGTCTGAAAACCTATAGAAAGATATGTTTGGCTCAAATATTATGAAATTTCTGTCGTTTTCCTTACCTATACTTTACTAATTGAGCGTTCATTTTCATCATATAAACAAATATTGAGTGACAAACGCCGTAGTTTTGTTTTTACTAATCTGCAATGATCTTTGAGACAAACGGTGCACTTTTGTTTGTAGCGATTTCTAATTGTTCATTGTCATAAAAAGTTGATATGATCGATATAATCGTCTACGTTTATCCATTTGTATACCTATATTTATCCCTTTTTTCGTCTATACTACCTATATTTATCCATATTTATCCATTTTATTCCATATTTGTCAACTTTTTCGTCCATATTTCGTCCATATTTCTCTATTTTTTCGTCCATAAATCCATACATATTTTTACGTTTTTAAGAACATAACTCTGTTAGCCCTGATTAATAATAATGTACAACAGATTTGCAATCAAGGGTAGTTTTCGAGATTTTCTAATTTACTGTATTGCTGTCGTATATAATATTATATATAATAACTTTGTAATAAACAGTTCTGGTTGCCATGTTAAACATTTAATTTCAATGATTTCAAAGAATCACATTGTTTGTCGCTTCTTGCAACCAAACTTCGACAGCTAACTCGCTTAATGCGCGAGTTGAGCCAAACTGCGAGTAAGATATTTTGTCTATGGCAACTAGAAAGTTGCGAGTAATTAGTTGCACTTGAGCAACTACTAGGCTCCGGAGAAACCAAGAAAACGGCAAAGGATGTTCCAGGATGGCTGTTCAGAAAGTTATGTAGAGCATGACAGAGGCAAGGGGAATGTAAATGCAGGATTAAATTTTTGTCTGATATTTTAGCATCCTTAAACAGATAAAAAACAAATTAGATTTTGATGTCTGGTAACCAATAAAGTTTTATTTGAAAAAATGTTTCTTTAAAGTATAAATAACAATATAATATTTAATTTAATAGAAATTACAAATAAGAGAAAAACATGTCACTATGTCAAACAGCTAAGATTTGCTATCTTAGTTTTTATGTTTTTTTTTTATGAACAAGCATACAAATTTTTTTATTGAATAACTTTTAAGACAATATTTTTTCGCAGTGATGTAATCGCCCCCCTTTCCAATCTCTCCCCTTGCAGACCAATCAGCCTGGTGCTGGAGCCCATCCTGAAGGAGCCGGGCGACATCTCCTTCACGTGGCTGGAGATCCACCGCACCAAGAACGCGCTGCTGCAGCAGTTGGACCTGCATGTGAATGCGAGCGTGACCACGGGCATGGGCTCCCAGACCTCGTCGCAATCCTCCCCGGGATCCAGTTCGGGGATGGGCGGGCTGGGGGGCAGTGGCACAGGATCTGCTGCCAACGCCGGAGGCTCTGCAGGCGGGGCGACGGCCAACGAAACGCTGAACGAGTTCGGCTTCTTTCCCAAGGAGTCGGACTGCGAATACAAATGTCCTGAAATTGATGCATGCATAGCGGCCAGCTTGTGGTGTGATGGTGAGTACAGATTGCCAGTTGAGGCCACAGCCCATTTCTCAGAGGGTCGTCGAATGGGTTTGGCAGAGGAGCACTAAATATTAAGTAGTATGTGGAGGTCCCATGCATAGGAAAAGTCATTCGATTCAAAGCTGCTGAGCACCTGCTAAATAAAGTATTTTATCCACATTCGGGGACATAAATCGAAAAGGAAAATGTATGTCAGACATAAACTGATTTAATCGAAAGTCTAAGCAAGCAACGTAGCTCAGAATATTTATTTATATTAAATCTGGAATTTAAACAAGGAACAGATACTATGGTGAAAGAAAACCTTTCCTAAAACTAAACTCAAGAAAATATCAGGACCTTGTTTTTATTTTAAACTAGCTGCCCGTCCCAGCTTCGCCTGGTTTTTTTTTAAATAGTTTTACCTTTCACACAATTATTATAAAGAGGTAAAATTTGTTTGCTTGTTTGTTTGTATCATTATCACTTTTTCTAAAAATTTTATTATTTTAACAACTCCCAAATTTATTATTGTAACAACTCCCAAGCCATATATCCGATAAAAATAATAAATTTTTTTTTTAACATATTGTAAATCTAATCCATCCTTAAGCCCCTGGAATAAAAGTCCAGCCGTTTAGGAGGAGTTCAATGACTAATAGGCGTACAGAAGATTTTTACAGAAGATTTCCCGTCACACGGGAACGCTGTCGAAATGTTACATAAAACGAAGCCATCACCAAAACCACAAAAAACTTCACTTCACTTCAATTCACCAAAACCACAAAAATTTAGTTAAAATGCTATGGTAGCGGTAGTAACTCACTTTATATGTGATTTTTGGTATGTCGAACGGGATAAAAAGTATCCTATGTATTGTGACTGTCAATTTATTATAGACAAATAATTTGCAATAAAATAAAATTGCGACTATAATTAAAGATCTAAGCTATCCTATCTCTCAAGTTGGACCAGACTGCACACGGTGTGCCAATTGAATTTAAAATCGGTTAAGGGGGGCTTCTCATGTAACATGCCAAAAAGTAGTGGTTTTTTGGGAATTTTTTTCTCTTGGAAAATGAAAACTTACACAAATAATTTTTGCACATATTTGAAGACATGTTTAAAGTATGAGAAAAACATTTTTTGAAAATTCTAAAAAACAAAATGGCGGACTTATACAAGGGCGCGTGTAGCTCGACGCGGCTGAGGGACTTATTGCGGTACAGTGTGGAGCAAAAAGTTTTCATCTGAAAAAAACAAAAAAATTTTTTTGTATGCAGCAAGGTTCAAACGAGTGCGTGAATGTCAGCCACTTCAAAAAATTCGATTTTAAAATATTGAAATCACGTCTTGAAAAAAAAGTGTCATTTTTTCGTCTTTTTTTTTGCTGAATTGGGCTGAAAAGTGTATAAAATAACTTTTTTTTCACAATATCAGATATTCACGCACTCGTTCAATGTATAATCTGCAAAACACTTTTTAGAAATCAAAAATCGGTTCAGTAGTTTTTCCGTAATCGTGTACCGCGTTTTTGAAAACATAGTTTTGAGAAAAAACGATTTAAAGTTTTGAGTTAGTGTGGGTCTTGAACTTGAGCGCGCTCGTTCAATCACTGATATTTTCCATAATATTGAGAGTTGAGTCATAAAACTTCGGGAATATACTCTCAAGACGTTATTCTATCGATTTATGAAAAAAAAAAATTTTTGATTTTTTTTAAATTTTACATGAGAAGCCCCCCTTAAGTAGTTTAGGAGTCCATCGCGGACAAACATCGTGACAGGAGATTTATATATATAAGATATTAGTTTAAACTTTAAAGTCAATGGTGTTGCTCTAGATAAAAAACTATCATTTGCGATACCACCAGCAAGTGTTAAGTTGTGTATACCGATAGAGCTATTTAGGCTTAGGATACCCAGAATTTGAAGCCTCACTAAACAGAGTCCTTGAACTCCCCTCTCGTTCTGAAGTTTTGCATTATGTGTACGTGATTTGGCGCTCGGCCCTTGGCTTGGAGCTATCCAGTTGCAGCGTGCTCCCGGCAGTAGGCAACCAAAAATTTCACTTGTGGCTGGCTTGTCTGTTAATTTCAAGGCGGGCTGTCCACGTTTTTGTAATCAGGCAAAGTTTCCTGACAACTGCACACAGGCTGCACAACTCCTGCTGGTTGTGAGTTGCTTCGTTGGTCGGTTGTCGTTGTCGGCGGTTGTTCGTTGTTGGCTGTTGGCTGTTGGCCGACTGGTGGGATGGCTGCTTGTTGGTAAAACCCGCAGCAGCAAAACCTCGAAATGTCTTGCGCAAAAAGTTTGTCCCAGTCCAGCAACGGACCAACCCAAAAGGCCGCAACAGCTGGTCTAAACTTATTTGCGATGCACTTGAGAGATGAAAAGTAGGGGACAAAAATAAGTGCAGCTTACTATGTTTACAGACTTTAAAATACCCTGGTAAAAAGAAATGATTTTAAAATAAATATTCTAAACAGTTAAATTGTTTATTTTAGTAGGCAAGCAAATCAAAGTTTATATTAATTTTTTGTAATTATATAAGCTACCCTTATGAAAGTTTTAACTAATATTGCACTTTAGTTTTGCATTTTACTTATTAAATTGCCGATGAAATACATACATTATTTAATGTATTCCAGCTCACATATTTCAATAATTATAACATACAAGGTTGTCTTTAAGGACACTCAATAAATACGTTTGAGGAGAGCTAATACAAGCAGCTTATTGAAAAAGAAACGATTTCTTTTCACTAATGCACTTAAAGCCGCATAGACTCTTTAAAAGGTACGCTTCGGGAAAAAAATACAAAGGCTGGCCTGGACTTTGCCTTTTTAGCTTCAATTATTTATGGGCAACCAGGCGCGTCTGCATCTGGAGCTGGTTAACCGCAAAAGCCAGGGCATTAAACAAGCTTTCGGACCCCACGGGCCACTCAAGTGACACTGCATTCAATTTGTAACCTTAGAGCAGGCCACCCAGCTTCCCCGATTGCTGCCCAGAGCCCCAATCTACTTTCAATTTTTCAATCAGTGCTCGACACTGCCTCCATATCGGTTTCTGGATCTGTTCCTACACTAACGAAATCTTTTCAGCTTAAAGTTAACGCTGGAATAGTTTAGTACAAAGTGAAACCAGGTTCATTGCTTTTTAACTTTTACTAGTTGATTTTAATAAAGCGGAATTTGATCAAAACATGGGTTAAAAAAAAAAAAAATCATCTAACATAGGCATCACTTTTATAAGGTTACACTTTAATTAAGTTAATTGGAATAATAAAAATTGAAACAGCTTCGTTGCTTTTTACCTATTACTAGGTATTTTCAATAACGAGATGAGTATGATAAAAATATGTCTTAATTTAAAAAAAATCATTTAACATAGGCAACAATTTTTGCAAGTTTTTTTTTGACATTTCTATTGGAATTTCTTTATCCGAAAATTGCAATTGTGTTTTCTTTGTGTATGCAGTTTTAAAAGATTCAACTTAAACTCTGTTGTTTTTACAATGTATACGTAAAGTTTTTTCCAGTTTTAACATTGATTTGGTTTGTAGGTGAATGGGGCTCCTATTTCCTCGAATTTGTTGTTAGTAACTCGACGGTTGTGTGAAAACTCCAAAGTTAGGCTTACTATAAAATAGCTTTTCGGTTCTAAATGCTCCTGTTCTCCTCTTTTTAGGTCACCACAACTGCCCCAGCGGATTCGACGAGTCGGAGGAGGAGTGCGGTACCGCTCGCAAGCTGCTGGAGTTGCCGGGCGGCGTGTTCGCCGCTCTGGGCTGCATTGCGGCCGCTTTGACCGCCTGCCTGATATTCTGCATGTTCGGGCTGATGAGGAAGCGGAAAAAGTCGGTGGTGCAGAAGGGCGCCGGAGTGGGCGGCATGGGCGTGGGCGGAATGGGAGTGGGCGGGATGGGCGGTATGGGCGGCATGGGCGTGGGCATCGGGTTCATGAACGGGGCGAGCAACGGCAACGTCTCCGCCGCCAGCATCGGAACCCTGAAGAAGGACTTCAAGAAGGAGGCGCTCTACATCGACCCGGCCTCCTGACACGGACTCCAGCCGGTCGAATATATCCACGTGGATCGGGAGACCACCGTGTGATATGTTGCCGCCGGCTGTGGCACCAACTACGATCATGTGGAGCTTTCCATGGAACTGGAACTGGCCTGACCGACGGATCAGTCCGCTGATCCCGTTCAAAATCTGGCCTGGAGATTTTAAAGACACAGAGTCGACGCCTGGAGGTATGAGAACACTAAAGAATCTACATTTTAAGCCGATAACTTTTCTAAACGCTTCTGGGAGTAACAACATGAGCATTAGCAAAATGTTTGTATGTAGTCATAAGGAGAAATGTGTTTTGTTCTTCTAACCAGTGCACTGCAGTGGAATTATTATTTGGGGATTTGGATTTATTTCATTTTTACCGAATTTGTATTCGAACTTTATTTACTTTCTAGTCTGTATATAGGTTTACTCGAGTAACAAAAAGTCAGGACTAAAACCTATTCCCAAATAACCAGTTTTATAAAAAATGTTAAAATAAATAATAGTAATAATAATAAAAACAAAGGAAAACCACAATTTATGTTATGTGCCTAAAAATTCTTTTCAAACAGGCCGACATTTTTATTTAAAATTTGATTATCACATTTTTGACATGTTTAGTGTTGCCTTGAAATTTTTAGAGGTTTCAAAAACAAATTATTTTAAAACAGTTTTATTTTCTAATAGCCAGTCTTGACTTTGAAATTATTTATTTCACCCACGAAAAAATACCTTATTTACTTCTTGTTTTATTTGGACTACATACGACGAGGAAAAGAAAAAATTAAACTATTGTAAATTAGGTACCTTTAAAGAGTTAGATCAGCTAGAGAGCAAACAATTCGTGTGCAGTACTTAGATGCCTTCGGCAATTTACCAAATAGCACATAGCACCCGATCGAAGGAGGTAAACAAACCACATTTAGCAACTAAATGGAAGATCATGAACTACAATGAAATTGTATAGAATCAGCAACTCGAGGAGCAGACCCCCATGCGTAGGGCCTCTCTGGCATTAACTTTTAAGCGACTAGACTAGGAATAAAACAAAACTGTTAGCAGCATTTGAAAAGGAGTTACGACGAGTCGAAGGAAATCTCTAAAGTGTTGTGATCTACGGCATGCACATACTGAACTACGTTTAAACAGAAGCAAATCGAGCATTTACATGAATAATACTCACACCCGGCGTAGTACGATATACACGTATTGTATAGGTATTAGCTATATAGTCTACTGAGGTGGCGGCACTTTTGGGTTTTATCGTACAGCACAAGCACTTAAGCAAAGAGCATCACTTAGTGGTTTATTAAATACAAGTCGATACAAGTTAATGAATGCAATTGTTATTAATGAATTAAGTAGGACTCCAAGCCAGAGATATGTTCACTTCATCTTAATCAAAACTGCCAAAAGAATTTAACAACACAGCCAATCAAATGTAAATATTTATGTCGAGCAATAACTTGTTTTATGTCAGCATTTATGTTCGTCGTTTGAACACAAATTATTTCCCAAAAGTAGCTGCAGTAAGCTATATTCCTAAAGTTATATGGACTTTGTAAAAACTACAAGCAAAGAATAATGAATAGCTGTATGCAAAACTACCATTTAAGACACGGCTCATAACCCATATAAACAATCAAACTTTTGGCAGTTGCAGTAGGATTAAGCAAAACACCAAACAAACGAAAAGCGTAAAAAACAAGACATAAGTACTTTATTTTATAGACCATAAACTAGGACAAAAATTATGAACTAAAAACGAAACACACAACTGGCTGCAATGAGAATTTTAAAAATTTAAGAGCCTCTGCCATTTGCAGGCGGAGTCCACATTCATAAAACCCCATTAAAATTTCAACTCCAATAAAACTGTACCGAAGAGCAAGTGTATAAAAAATATATATATGATTTAGTCAGCATAAAAAAGTAAAACGAAATATATACATAAATTAAATCAAATATTTTTGGTTGGCATTTTTGATAGCAAATAACCTAAATATTTATAGCTGAAAAGGAAAAAACTCGAAACGCACTTTGTACAATTTAATGAAAAACAAAAAATATTATTTTCCACAGACACCACAACATACATATAGGATATTTTACACGCATTCGTATAAGAGATAAAATAATACTGAAATAAATATATGAGAACGAAAACAAATTAAATTAATTAAAATGGCGCATAGGCCAAAAAATGCATTTTTGCTGCCGGCCATCGAAAACCAAATATAACGAAAATGGCTGGCAGTGCATTTAAATAAGTAGCTCTCAGACCGGCCGGAGTTGGAAAAACCAATGCCGCACTACTTTGTTGGCCACCATTGTCACACACAAAAACACGCATCTCAATCATCAGTTCGGTTCAGTTCCTTCTCTCAACCAAACCAAACCAAACTATGGAAATTTCTGTGCCAACTGTGTTTAAAGTAGAACTCGAAGATAAAACACGAATAAAAAAGAGAGCGGACGAAGAAATTGAATTATGACCGCGCATAAAACATTGCATGTAATTTATTTGAAATGTTCGAAAATAAAGTAGACGAAGAAGAGGAGAAAACTGTGCGCGAGATGGTAAATAAAAAAATAAAATACAGACAGCTGTGTAAATAGTCAAACTGCGTACAGTCTACGCATATTTAATTAAAAATACAAAATAGAAACCCAATATGAAAAGGCAACGTAAAAGAGATCATGTTTTATGGTTAATTTCTGAATTCCCCATACTTTTTTTTCGCAGTTTGCTAGAGTAAGTTTCACTTGTATGATAAATAAATTAAACCAAATATTTATATAGAGATATTATACGTATATGAAAGAGGAAACCTTAACATAATGACGCACTGAATCAAATAGATGAAACGAGTATTTAAAAACCAAGACAATTAAAACCAAAAAGAACTTTAAGCAAAAATAAAACTGAGGAAAAAATGAAATTCAAAACAGAACACCTGTCGTTATTAGCCGAATTTGGGGCTTTGGCTGAGCTGGGTTGATTTTGGCAGCTGGTGGGTGGTGGGTGGTGTACCAACTGTTCCGTTTGACGCTTTGGGGAAAACCGTTGGCCAAACTAAGGCTAGCTCGAAATCGTGTCCAAATAGCTGGCAGTCAAGTAGGCCACAGATTTTGATTGCCCGCATCCGGCAACCATCGGTGGACATGCTCGAAAATTCGGAGCCTCGAACGAGATGGTGTTAAAGCCAAGCCGGCTGCCTCGGGCGTGGGTTCTCACCGGTCGGAATTGGGTTTTTGGGGGGGACCGGGGACCACCCCCTTTCTGAACCGCCCAGTGACCAACGTTAACCCGCATAAAACATAAGCCACGAGCTGGTCCTCGTGTTGTGTGCCCTGTTTACCTCCGACTCGAACGCCGACCCCCGATTTCCACAGTTCTGTGACTCCGTGCTAATGGCCAGCAGCTCTGTTTCTGGGCCTGGCCACTCTGGCCCCAGGACTTGGCCAAAACGGCTTTGATAAGAGTGGGCGACGGAAAGTCCGAAAAATGCTGACGAGGCGTGGCAGAGCACTTTTTGTTAAGAGTTGGAAACTTTTTACAGGAATGTAAGTACTTAAATAAAACAATGAAACAAAAGCCAGTCAAGCACCATTTTTAAAAAATATTTTACCTATAACTAATCAATAAAACAAATATCACAATATTTAAATTGTTGTTTGCTTTTCCTTCAATGTAACAATAATTTTGTGACTGATTAAATGTAATAAAAAAATATAAAACAAATAATGTTTCATTACAATATATACATATCAGATCAATTTTAGATTTGAACATAATATATATTTTTTGTAAAATAGTTTTTTGTAAAGTTTTTTGTAACCTTCAAAAAATGTAACTTAAAATAACTGATAATTGACTTATTTTCTTATGCTTACAAGGAAAGCATATTTTTTTGTAAAGACTTGCTTAATATTAATTAGTGTGTGTGGAAATCAACTGCTCAATAGACCCTCGCTGTATAAAATCCACACCCAAATGCCAGGCAAATATAATATATACGCACACCTGCCACAAGCACACACATCGCCAATTTATATTTGCACCTAGGGCCAATTGCAGTTGTTTACAATTGAGTGGCCAGCTCAGCACAACCGGGCCAACAACAAAGGAGCCGTTGCCTGCAGAAAAAACAATAACAAAGATATAGCCAACTTACGGCAAGCAACCGCAAGCGAACAGCTGATAAGCTTAAACCGAAATCTGACAGGCGAACAACTCGTCAGCCTTTATGTTTTGAAATCGGAGAAAGAGGCCGATCACTCAGATAGCACATCTATCTCAACTAATTTGGAAAATCATCGGATGCAATCGACAACAACTTGGCAAGTTTTTATTTGCCATCTCAGTGCTAATTACAGAAGTGCCATCAATTCCCAGCGGGAAAAGAGATGTGGAAGATATGCTATTTTCCAGAGATTTCTTCATACAAGCGGAAGGGCAAAAACCTCCTTCACCCCTTACATTTTTGCCGTCTCTCCTTTCAAAATACACGGGGGTGACACACAAAAGGAAGGGGTAAAGGAGGTTTCTATGTAAAAATCCACAGGTTTCAGAAACCCACCCTTATTTAGCGGACCAAAATTTTCAACTCCTACCCCTACGCCTGCTAAAAGAAGCAGGATTTCCAGTAGACTTAAAACCGAAAACCTACTTCTAAAAACCTACTTCTCACTTTCCCGCTGGGTTATTACCTTATAAAATAAAGGCATGTGCCGCCAACACATATTTTTGTCTCACTTTGTTTTCATATTTTGTCTGCTTTTATGTTAAGGCTGGCATTTTTCCATTTTTTGCCATTGTTATCGAGAAATTTACACGGATTTTCAGCTTGTTGCTGAAATAAAAAAAGGTTAGTAAGGTAAAAAATCAGTTTTTTGTCGTTCTTGAAAAAATGTGGACCTAGGCAGATAGCTGTGGGTAAACGCTTAAATCTGGCAGCCGTCAGACGCCAGTCAGTGCACAAGTGAGTTACAGTGGGAGAAATAAGTTAGTAAAATAATTTTAAAAATAAATTATTTTATTAGACTAAAATAAGGATTGAATAAACCATCATAAGTGCATACATTTATAATTTGTTTTTCTCTTTTTAAACTTGTTTAAGAAAATATTTCAATCTAAATCATTAGAACATCTCTTAAAATAGTTATTTTAGCTAAAATTTGAAGTATTTTCTAACGTATCTTATCAGTAAAGACTGTCTTCTTAGTCATATTAGCACGCCTTTCACTTTTAAATTTAAATTTTATCACCAATAACCGCCAACAGAATTCTCTTAGCCACTGTGCCAGAAATTTCTTCAGTAGAATAGGGGTCAATGAGCTTTGTGGACAGCAAGTGCGGAGACTGGTGGAACCAAGAATTATAGAAACTTCAGATTTGACTTTTGCCAAAATTATACTTAGGTTCAGAGTTAGCAAACGAACGAGGCGAGAAGCCAAAAATTGGGAAGAATCTTTTATTCATGCACGACTGGCCAAAACTAGTCGATGGAAATTACAAAAGCGGGAAGGTCAACTTTTCGACTGCCCATTAGAAGAAGAAGAAGTTCAAAGGTAAACCAGTTTCTAATGATTCTAATTCTGTGCCTTAAAAAAAAATTAGGCATCTCTGCTTTTTGCCAACGTGGTTTGGATCACACGAAATATGTTATTTTCCTCAAAAAATGCTTTTAAGGTTGCAGTGACCAACTGTTTCAACATAGGATATTGAAACAAGTGCCCAAAATTGAATTCCTTGCGTGAAGAATAAAAACACTACGCTGTTTGAACGACCTAAATAAATACGGCCAAGTAGATTAATGTCAGATGCCGGGTAATAATGAAAATGTTACCACAGACAAATGGGCTACAGTCACGTCCACGAATTCAGTCAACCCGCGAACAAAGAGAATCGAAGAGAGCGGGCAAACAGAGCCGAAGAGAGCGATCGTGTGTGCTGAAGAAAATGGTAAAAGCAAACAGCGGTAAGCCGCTGCCAACGTCTTAAAGTTGGCCAAAAAGGCGGCCAAGTGCCCCCAGGAACATTCAGTCAAGCCGCGATCGCCGAACTGAACGGACGTCTATCTTTATCTCAGCCTCCAAGTTAACCGGAGTGAATTCAAGTGCTGACCGGAAAATTCTTTCGGCCAAGAAAGGTCTCCGAAAAAGATCTCAAGCGATTGTGTTTTGTGTGTAACTCCCATTGGATGTCTCTGAACGCCGATCGTTCGTACAAAATGAAGCTGCGCGATGTGGAAAATGCCTTCAAATACCGGCGCATACCGTATCCCAAGCGGTAAGTGTGATCCGTCCAAAGAAAGCAGTGGAGAATCGATTTCTTTCACCCGAGAATTAAGCGCGCTACGAAGGGGAAATGCAATTGAGTTCCAGTTTCAGTTTAATTGAAAACCGGTCATAATTGCCATTGAATGGCCTGAGAATTGAGTTGGTCGATCGAAGATTGCGTTCGCCTCAACGGCTTAAGATTAAAAAGACTGCTCTCGATTCTCCATAAAAAGCGCTTAACTTTCCGTTTTTCGCAGCTGGCTAAAAAGTGAAAGACATTTCAGGGTCGACGCATTTGATAAATATAATTAAATAAAAACTTCAATTGCTCGCAAAAACAGTTCAAGCGTTTTTGTCGGACTTTAAGTACTGCCAGCCAGTAAATTAATTGCAGTAATTTCCACACATGGGAAAAAAAGTACAAACTTGCTTAGAAGTTCTTAAATGTATTTTGGATGGAAATACCAAATGATCTTAATAAACCTTTTTATCTAAATTTGAAATTAATTTGGCAGATCAGACTGAAAACTGAAAGCAGTTCAAAATGTTAAATAATTGCTTAAGTTTAAGATTGTAGAAACGAAGCCTAGAAATCAGTTATTAACTTGGCTGAGGCTTTATTATTTGTTTTCCGATCTTTACTGCTGTAATTTTTTATATAAATTCGTTAATTTTAAATTGAATGAATATTAACGTAGGAACAAATTTTAAACCATTGAATCTACTGAAAGAAACAAAATTAATAAATCATAATATGATTGTATAGTACAAGAAAAAAAACAACAAACTATACAGATAAAGATTAAAGCCATATTGTTAATCATTTAAAAAAATTTGTCTATGTGCACTTTTACGGTAACTGACATGTTTTTCATCTTGTGCTCCAGTTTAAAAGCCACAATCTTGTTACATTTTTTTATTACTGTTTTAATTTTCAATTCTCCTCATAATTCATTTGGTGTACGACCTTAAGGCCATTTTACAAAGATGAAAAGGAGGAAAACCACAAAAGCCAAAAGAGCTGTGTCTTACCACCTTCCCTCGCTCTGCATTGTCTGAGCCTACATTTTTCAGTGTTTGTTCTGGCCTTTTACAGAACCCAACTCGGCTCAGTTCAGTTCAGTTCAGTTAAGTACAGATAAAGGCTGAGAGCCCGCTGACTTGACTGCCCGCTCATTAGTCGATGGTTGATGGTCGGCGGACGGCGGACGGCGGTTTCTGCGGCCGCCCATAACAATTTTGGCCATTAAAAGGTGTTTAGGCCAGAGATCTGAGCCACTGCGTCCGCTGTTGTGCAATTTTCGCTCTTTTTTACGTCTGTATGGCCAAAAATTGTTGCAACTAGTGCGTCGAGATGTAAACTAATGATAGACTGAGTACACATGTTGTGGGCTAATTGGCTTCGGGGAAACAATATTTTAGCTTTTGTTGATTTTAAAAGGAGTGTGAGAATTTGTTTTTCATTAAGACTTCAAGCATGGCCAACAAATAAAGTCGTAAGCCCTAATGCTAAAAATACCTGGTAACAAGAAATGATACTATTTTTTATCACTTTGCTGCGGAATTTTCTATTTTTTATGGCAATATTATTATTTCAATAGCTGTCCTACATTTAAAGCTTGGGGCCTTTGTTAAACATAATTAAACACGATTTATCCTATTAAGTTCCCTTTTATTATCGAGATCCCAAGCCCATTTCCCATTTATTTACAGAGCAAATTATTACATTTAATGTATGAATTACTGGCATTAATTAAACTCACGATTTAAATGTAGATATGTACTCTGTGTAATTATCGCTCGCAGTAGCATAAATTTCACGCTCATTTTGACAATTTCATGCAGCTGCGAACCCTCAGTCAATCAGTCGGTCACTCAGTCAGTCAGTCAGTCTGCCAATCAATCTGGCAAACATTTATTTTTTATTTATTTCCGATTACCCGGGCGATTCAGCGAAAAGACAATCTTACCATTTGCACAACAAAGCAATGCAAATATTTAAACATCGATATGATGTATAGTATGGCAAGAGCAAAGAATTGTCCTCAACATAAACATAAATTCGCAGCAATATTGATGTGTGTACTTGCTGTTGTTATTTGCACTACTCTTTTGTGCGATTCCAAATTGATATTAATTAATTAAATTAATTGGTTTTGCTTAAATAACCACCCGACAGATGCTTGGCAGCTTCATTAACCAGACACGCGATAAATAAGCATACGGAGAAAATGAGTTGAGTTGGGTTCGTTGCACTCCGTTGATGAAAAGCTGTCCAAATCGATTTGCAAAGTCAATGGCAATTGGCAATCCAATAAGTAGAATCAAATGCAGTTATGCAACACCCTCGCGTGAATTAGCATAAATTACGTCCCCCGATTTGTTTTCCGTATGGATTAGGGCTTACCTAATACAAAACTACTTTTATTTTCATTGGAAGCCGAAGCGTGACAGAAATTATTTAGAACGCCCCAAAAGCGGGTCAAGTGGGTAAATAAGAGAGAAGATTCAAGCCGGGCTGGCTGGCTGGCTGGCTCTTTGGCTTCATGTCTTTCTTCTCTGCGATTCTCTCTTTCTTACCAACTTCTTTCTTTCTTTCTTCGGGCGCCACGACTTGCAGTCACTCACACTCGCATAATTACTATACATCCAGAGATGTGATTTGTTTTTCTCCACTTCGCTTTGGGTTTCGTCTTGCGTTTTGTTTTATTTTGTCTGTCTTATTGCAATGGAAATGAAGTATGTATGTATATTGGGAATTTTACACGCTGCTGGTGGGCCTCGGGAAAGTTAATTGTTGCTGACTGTCTGCGGCGGGTGGCAAATTGAAAAAAAAAATAATTATAATAAACAAAACAAGTTTATTTTATTTTTCTTTTTTAAACTGCCCTTACACTTTCGGAAATAAAAACAAATTTATTGCTTTTGACGTTCGCATAAGGAGTGACTGTAAACCATCTCAATTTCATTTCCTTTTTAGTGTAGAGATAAATTTATTTTGTGGTTGAAGTTTGAAAACATTATACATACAATAAACCATTTGTAACGAGCGGTAAAACAAAGTTCAAGTCTCTTGAACCTGAGAAAACTTTTTTCTGCTAACATTTTCATTATCAAAGAATACGGTTACTGATTCGTTGGCTTAATTGCTTTGAGATATAAGCTTCCTAGCAAATTAGCAAATCATAAGTATATTTATGCTCTTAATCCATTAATGAAATCCCCGATTGGGTATCGAAATACTTACCCGATTTAAAGCATGAAGAACAACGAGCTGCAGTTCGAGCCCGCACTTTACACAATTTTACCAAAAACTTCACACCTAACCCGCATGATCAGGTGAAACTTTAGGCCTCTGCCCACATTTTACTCCCTTTTTCACTGATAATTTTGCACGCAACTTTTGGCAAGTGAAAGCCCACCAAATATTCACATGTTTGTATACATAATAGCAATTTATGACCGCAGCCGTTTAGCACCTTTCAGAAGAGATGACCAACCATTTTACTGGCCAATTCAGAAAGCAGCTAACGCCCACCGGTAGTCTATAACTAATTGGCTGTTAGTAGTTGGTCATAAAAACAAAAACTTTGGCTATGTCCGCGTGGATACCGAAAACAAACGCCCTCTCCCACGGAAAACGAGATGAAAGAGGTTTTCTACATTATGTAAAGCCGGTCAAATGTCGAGCTGGCTTGCGAATAAAAACTAACAAATTCGCATTATTTTTAGCACAGTACATAGACCGTATAAGAAAGGCAATGGCTGATTAACACAATCATGTGAAAAAGGTGCAACACTTTTTGGCTAAAAATAAAACAAGTGCAAAAAATACCCAGACGTCGAAAGACAAGTGGAAATTATGTGTATAGCTTTCACTTGATATACAAATATGGGCTGTGTGACGAAGGGGGCGTGGCCAGCAATGCGTAACAGCCAAATGATGATGACAATGATGAATTTTTGTCTCTGCTGAGTTTCAAGTCTGAGTTTTACCAAGCAAAGTGTAAATGTCTGGGCAAAAGGTGAAGTTGAATGAAAAGTGGAATTAGTTGAGAAGTGGGACTAGTTCAAAGCCACTGAACAGGGCCTTTTAAATGAAACTGTCATTGAAATATTCAAGGTAGCAGTTAAAAAAGTATGAAAAATAATGCCCTATAGAAAAATACATATTAATAGGGAGTACAGCAATACTTTTACTCACATACATTTTCATACAGTCCCACCAATTTCGGCAACTGATGATCTACTAATTAGCCTTTCACCAACCCGATTCAAACAATGAAAAAACTCATTAATACCACTTCATCTAACAGCCCCCAAATTTTTAGGCACTTCCTCACCCCGAAAGAGACTTTCATACTAATTATTTTTATGCAACGCACAATATTTAAGAAAAACACACAAACCTCCTTTCAATTTTCGTTTTCCATGAAACATATCACGATGTACATACTTTCGCATAATATTTGATTGTTTTTGATCAAATATGCATGCAAAATGCTATAAATAAGAAACCAAGGCAAAATGTGAAAAAAAGTAAAACTGTGTTTATTTGTTTGCGAGCGTTTTGCTGTTTTGTTTTTAAGTTTGCCAAATGCAGACGAGGCAAAATTGAATTTAATTTCTTCGCCGCCTCTTCACTCTCACATAGCGAAAGTGAGCCAACGCTCAGGTTCAGATCCAAAACTTGGGACTTCCTCGAGTATGTAAATCACTTTTTTACAGCCGGCGAACTGCTGGAGATGAATGGGCGCCAGCTACTTAGCCGAGCAGAATATTTTACGGTGGGACATGTCTGGGATCCCAAGAGATAAATTCCCAGGTGGGTGGTGCCTTCTCACCCATTTGGCGGAAGGCGGTGAAAGCATTGAACTGCAATTAGCGGTCGCATTTATGATTCTTTTCACTTTTCTGGCAGCCAAGCATTCAGAGAACAGTTGGTGTTAATTGAAACCATCAACAGATCCGTTTCAGTTTCGCTCTTATAAAAAATGTATTTACTTTCAG